GGGTTGATGTTCCAGGAGGGATAAGCCAAATGGCAAATGATTTAGGTAAACTAGAAAAATGGTCAGAGTTGTGGCAGCTGACATTTAATGTGGATAAGTGCAAGATAATGCATCCTGGACGTAAAAACCCAAGGGCAGAGTACAGAATATTTGATAGAGTCCTAACCCCAACATCTGAGGAAAGGGATTTAGGGGTGATTATTTCTGATGACTTAAAGGTAGGCAGACAATGTAATAGACAGTAGTACCTTCAGGGTAGTGTGTTCAGGAACTGGTTCACTGTAATATGGCTTTAGTTGGTAGTATAATAATTATATCTGTATCTAAAATGACCAATGGTGGTGGAGAAAATATGTATGGTGTGTATACCTTTAAATCTGCTAGAGGCAGATTTTTTCTGTTACACACCAAATACTCTGCTTAGATATAAAGCAGCTAAATAATTACAGAGTAACAACAACAAAAAAATGTAATCTGTATAGAGTTAGAATGTACAAATTATTGTAGTGTATATATCTTTAAATCATATAGTCGCACACTAAATGGTGCAAATGGGCAATATATAATTTACACCACAGAGATATAGAATTCGCTAAATCTCTTATTATAAAAGATAAATATGAATAAAAATTCCAAAAGGCCACTGTAAAATAGAATCAAACTGCACGATCAGATAGAATTCCATCACGTCTCTGAGGAAGTGGGGCGGACACCCACGAAACGCGTTAGACAAGCTGACAGTGTGAGAGGATACAGGATACGGAGAACAGCCAGCTGCCAGCAGAAAACACAGCTCCCTTCCCCATCGATCGGGGGACTGACGGACTGCCGGCATCAGACTATCATAGTGAGGTTTGGCACGCACGCCAACCTCGCAACAGCCGGCAAGTACAAATACCAAAATCCTGTTACACAGTATCCACTGTAATCCTCATCGGTTACAGTGGTTATCAGGATACAAGTTCATTATTTATGCTGACTACTGACTTGTAAATCGTTCCTGGCTCACATTTTTTGCAATTTGTATTTTCTATTTATTATTTTTATACATTTTTCATTTATCCATTTTTTAATAATAAATATACAATTTGATTCTATTTTACAGTGGCCTTTTGGAATTTTTATTCATATTTATCTTTTATAATAAGAGATTTAGCTAATTCTATATTTCTGTGGTGTAAATTATATATTGCCCATTTGCACCATTTAGTGTGCGACTATATGATTTAAAGATATATACACTACAATAATTTGTACATTCTAACTCTATACAGATTACATTTTTTGTTGTTGTTACTCTGTAATTATTTAGCTGCTTTATATCTAAGCAGAGTATTTGGTGTGTAACAGAAAAAATCTGCCTCTAGCAGATTTAAAGGTATACACACCATACATATTTTCTCCACCACCATTGGTCATTTTAGATACAGATATAATTATTATACTACCAACTAAAGCCATATTACAGTGAACCAGTTCCTGAACACACTACCCTGAAGGTACTACTGTCTCTTATCCTTTTGGACAGGTTTGGGTGTATCCCTGTCCTGGTTCAGTATTGAGCTATTCACTTCGAGTCGGACTCCCTCATCCCTGTGTATTGCACTAGGCAGACCAGATTTAAATTAAGACAATGTAATAGAGCAGCAGGAAATGCTAGCAGAGTGCTTGGTTGTATAGGGTGAGGTATTAGCAGTAGAAAGAGGGAAGTGCTCATGCCATTGTACTGTAAATGCAGGTGGTTCCCTTATTTACCACTATAATGTCTTAAAGCATCGAACTTAGTAGGGCTAACCATACAGATATCTTAGCCATAATTTTATATAGTTAGTAAAAGATCCTCTATTTAATATATATAAATAATTGAGAATACAATATAAAATATGGATTGTCTTGGAAGCAATAGTTTTGTCTTTTTAGATATTTATTATATAAAAATATAAATATAGACATATAAAATCCATATAGCAGAGTTTATAGGATTAAACTAAATGCTTGCAAATATCATTAATAGGTTAACATACTCTTCTGAACATGTCATCATGTCAGCCTCTCTGTCATTTTAAGATGGAGCAGCGTCTGTCTCCAAGTCTCTCCTCTGTGTCTTAACATTTAAAAGTACACCTATTTATACCTTTGGTGTCTCCATTTTAGGGTTACCGTAATTCATATATGAAAAAAGTAAACACTTCTTTTACTTTATTCATTTTAGGACCTCCCTTAACTTGGCAAACATACAAGGCCATAACTAAAGGGTGTATACGTCATGGAAATTTTCCTGACATTGTTCAAGATGGCATCTTAAAGTCTGGACATCCTTATCTACTTAAGATTACCACAGTATATTGTGTTAAGAGTCGTAGCATAGCCTTGAAGCTTGTTTATGCATTATTGTTATTGTAATTTGTCTGGTGCAAAGTGGCGCAAACATATTATGCACTGAGGTTATTGCTTAAAGAAACATCAATGAAAAACAATATGTTTCATTTCTAACACCTTGTCAATTTGCAATATCTCTTAAAGACAAAGTACACAGTTTAAGAAATACAACATTTCATTCTAAAACTTGTAATATTTGCATTTGCCCATAACAGTACAAAACACTGGTGAGATTTCACTTGGAGTATTGTACGCAGTACTGGAGACCGTATCTTCAGAAGGATATTGATACCTTAGAGAGAGTTCAGAGAAGGGCTACTAAACTGGTTCATGGATTGCAGGATAAAACTTACCAGGAAAGGTTAAAGGATTTAACATGTATAGCTTGGAGGAAAGACGAGACAGGGGGGATATGATAGAAACATTTAAATACATAAAGGGAATCAATACAATAAAGGAGGAGACTATATTTAAAAGAAGAAAAACTACCACAACAAGAGGACATAGTCTTAAATTAGAGGGACAAAGGTTTAAAAATAATATCAGGAAGTATTACTTTACTGAGAGGGTAGTGGATGCATGGAATAGCCTTCCAGCTGAAGTGGTAGAGGTTAACACAGTAAAGGAGTTTAAGCATGCGTGGGATAGGCATAAGACTATCCTAACAATAAGATAAGGCCAGGGACTAATGAAAGTATTTAGAAAATTGGGCAGACTAGATGGGCCGAATGGTTCTTATCTGCCGTCGCATTCTATGTTTCTATGTTTCTAAGCACCTTTAGTGGCTGTCTGGTAGATATTATATTTACATAGCAGGGCTAAAGGGGACAGGGACACTGCACGTAGACCACTTCAATGATATGAAGCTTCTGCATGCCTACAGTGTCCCTTTAAAGCTTATCAATGTCTTAAATGTAGGAAACAATGCTTAAATAAAAAACAATTCAAGAAAGAAAGTGTAAAGAGAACACAAAAAAGCCGTACTGAGATTTTTCACTAATCCAAGACACACAAACATTCATTATTACCTCCTCTTCTCTGCTCTGACCTTCTGAATCTTCAAACTGATCCATTTCAGCAGTGACAAATGTGGTAATAGAGGAGTTATGTGAGGTTTCCGGTTGAGTGCATTGGACCTGCCAATACAGTGAATGAAACATGAAATTATACCTTTATCATGTATTATCAATGATGTCCAGCTAGTAGAGGGGAAGTACAAAATAACTTAAGTAGTCAATAATGGTTATTACATTAAAAGAGTTTTTTTTTTTTCTATTTTGATCTATGTAATATTTTTATCTATGCAATACAGTGAATCTTCTACATACTTTCTGTTCTTATGTTTGCCAATCTCTGTGTCTTGGTAAAACTAGTTAATTGCTTCCTCTTATATATGCAAAATATATTTTGTAACATATGGCATATATGCTGAAGTGTAACATAATAACTGAGTACTTAAAAAGATGAAAAAAAAATAAATACGAACTTTGGTGTGAGTACATTTCACCCTGGAGTGTCCCTTTAAAATCTGAAATAACCAAGAGGTCAATTTGCAGAGGCTAGAAATAAGTAACAAGTCCTAATATTTCAGGGATTTTTGTTTGCACTCTCGGTAGAATGCATTCCACCCGGGGGTCTAATTTCTGTGAGCTATATAATAAATGTTAGGTTATAAAAATGACATACTTTTTAAAAGTTAGATATGTTCTTTTGTGCAATTGGATGTATGCCTCACCACCCCCAAAAAGATGAACCCTCACAATATTTTCTTTGTTCCAGAATCCTAACTACAGCCTTATCAGCCTACAGTATAGCCATCAACCCTGATAACCTTTGTTCAATCAGACACTTCTAATAGAGAATTAAAGCGGCACTGTCATGCCGAACTTACCTTTCTTTAATCGATTCCTCTTCTCTCCCTCTGTCAGGATCTGATCTTCATTTCTTCCTGTCTGACCTAGGGCGGCCCCACCCCACCCCCTCTCCCTCATTATCCTTTAGGGCCCCACCCACCACAGCCACAGGTTGCTCACTCTTTAGTAGACATGCCCCTACTCGCAGTATAGCGAGTAGGGGCATTCAGGAGATTTTAATCTCACTTATGCTATTATGGGGGTCATATTGACACCCACAGAGTGAGGGAGGACATGGGGGGCGTAGGAAGTGGCAGGAAGCACTGCTCCCTGCCGCTTCTATCTTTACATATTAAAAGGAGGGAGCTGCGCGCCGGTAGCTACCTCCTTGTAATAAACTAAACGAACACCGATATACAGTGTTTGTTTGTTCATCTGACATTTCTATTCATTCATTTGTCTTTCTGATGAATGATTGGATGAAAGTCCTGTTCGCATGTCCAGATGTTTAACTGGGAATGTGCGGGAATTTCACAGCGCTATCTAGTGTGGGCAGATGACGTGCTCCACAGGGACTTCATCTACCCACACAAAGATGGCCGCTCCCGGAACATAGGACCGGACAAAAAATAAAGTTAAATAAAAACGGGATTCGGCCATGACAGTGCCGCTTTAAAACACACAGTGTATGCACAGCAATTATTACAATCTGTCATTGTAATACTTCTCACAGAGAAGCTTTAAATGCAGACCCAGCATTGCCATACTTTACACGATGATGTTGGATGTCACATAGATACAATATTTAACTTTATTTGTGTTGGAAGCCCTTCTTGTCTGCATACTGTTCTAAACACAATAATATTGAAAAATTAAAATAAGGAGCAGCTAGGTACATTGTAGATATTGCGAATACGAACATTTTAACTGTTTTCTACTGAAATACTCTGGCAGTGACATATTAAGTGTTTTAAAACAGGATTATGTTATTCCAATCATACAATAATTATTACATATTCCAATCATAAAATAATTATTATTGTGATATGCTCACCTTACGTGACTTTCCAGCTATTGCAGAAGAGTTTCCACAAGCTTCTGTTTGGTTCACCGAATTATTACACTCTGAAAGCCAGGAGCTCCTCTCTAACGTGCAGAAGTACAGAGCATTATGAGAGGGTTCAAGTTTACATAGTTACAAAGTAACATAGCTGAAAAGAGACTTGCGTCCGTCAAGTTCAGCCTTACTCACATATGTTTTTGCTGTAAATCCAAAAGAAGGCAAAAAACCTAGTCTCATGCACTTCCGATTTTTTCAACAAACTAGGAAAAAATTATTTCTTGACCCCAAAATAGCAGTCAGATGTCTCCTTGGATCAAGCAGCTATTACCCCACTAATTAGAAATGATATCCCTGTATGTTATGTTTTTGCAAGTATTTATCCAATTGCAGTTTAAACATCTGTATGGACTCCGATAAAACCACCTCTTCAGGCAGAGAATTCCATATCCTTATTGCTCTTACTTTAAAAAAAAAACAAAAAAAACTTTTCTTTGCCTTAGATGAAATCTCCTTTCTTCCAGCCTAAATGTGTAACATTGTGTCCTATATATAGCCCTGAAATGGAGCAGCGAAAAATTTCCCTTGTTCTGTCCAGAATTAATTGGATCAGAACCTGGGAAAATGTGGTCAGGATGGTGGTACAAGCTACCACCAAATGGGCTTGAACCCTTAGATTTATTTGAAAAACACAAAACGCAAATAGAGAAGAGTAGTCCTCAAATAGGAGAACACCCAATGCTGGTATAGGTGCTAATAAACACACAAATTATTTACACCTTAGTATACCTAAATAACTTGCTTGGAGAAAGTTGGTGTGAATCAGGGGGAAGCACTCAAACCTAAGTGATAATGCTACCTTATGTATCCACATGTAAATAAATCTTTATTAACCTTTTATCTAAAAAAAGATACAGTAGAAGCAATTGTGACAAGAGGTAATGACTGTGAATAACATTTCCCTGATCATTCAAAATATGACTTACAAAATAACAACTTATTACAATGTTGATAAATTGGTGGATAGTGCTCATAACCATCCAAGTGCAGTGTAAGCCTTCATGTGTAGACACAGGGGATTATTCACTGAAATATCATTGGCAGGTTTCCCTCTGAAAAAAATCTGATAGCGAGATGCAGAATGACCTACTTACGTCAGGATAGTGATACTGATGCAGAATTGCAATGCCTCCGCTAGAATAAATGTCTCTTGGTTTGTGATAATATAGACAGGAGTTCTGTTATATAATTGGAGTAGCTTAAATCCTAGTGCATTCTATTTTCGCCCTAAGGGATGGTGCACAGAGGAGACTTTAACTTGGAGATCAGTGGTCTGGTGTGATTGAATGTGTGAATGACAGTATGCTAACTTTAGTGATAGCTGCAGTATAGAACACCCACGAAGGTGTTACCAGGAGACCTAGGGCACTAGCAATAGCGGTCTTCGTATTTAGATCTTATGACTGAATGTTGGACATACTCTCCTCGGTGCACCATCCCTTAGGGGGAAAATAGAATGCACTAGGATTTAAGCTACTCCAGTTATTCAACAGAACTCCCGTCTATATTATCATAAACCAAGAGACATTTATTGTAGCTGAGGCATTGCAATTCTGCATCAGTATCCCTATCCTGACGTGAGTAGGTCATTCTGCATCTCGCTATCATAATTTTTTAAGAGGGAAACCTAGCAATGATGTTTCAGTGAATAATCCCCTGTGTCTACACATGAAGGCTTACACTGCACTTGGATGGTTATGAGCACTATCCATCAATGTATCAACACTGTGATAAGTTATTTTGTAAGCCATATTTTGAACGATCAGGGAAATGTTATTCACAGTCATTACCTCTTGTCACAATTGCTACTACTGTATCTATCTTTTTTAGATAAAAGGTTAATAAAGATTTATTTGCATGTGGATACATAAGGTAGCATTAACACTTAGGTTTTGAGTGCTTCCCCCTGATTCACACCAATTTTCTCCAAGCAAGTTATTTAGGTATACTAAGGTGTAAATAATTTGTGTGTTTATTAGCACCTGTACCAGCATTGAGTATTCTCCTATTTGGGGACTACTCTTCTCTATTTGCGTTTTGTGTATTTACTATGTATAGCCCTGTTTATGAATAGATTTCCAGATAATGGTTTGTACTGGCCCCAAATATATTTGTATAATGTTATCATATCCCCTCTGAGGCACCATTTTTCCAAACTAAAGAGATTTACATTATTTAACCTTTATTCGTAACTAAAATGCTCCATTCCTTTTAGCAATTTTGTAGCTTGTCTCTGCACTTTTTCTAGTCCCATGATATCCTTCTTTAGAACAGGTGCCCAAATTTGCACAGCATATTCAAGGTGTGGTCTTACCAGCGATTTATAAAGTGAGAAAATTATAGTTTCATTCTGAGAATTTATGCCCCTATTTATACATGACAAAACCTTACTGGCCTTAGCAACTGCAGATTGACATTGCCTAATATGTTGTCTATAACAATTCCCAAATCCTTCTCGTGTGTGGTTATCCCTAATTCACTACCATTTAGGGTGTAAGTTGCTTGTGCATTCTTGACCCCGAAGTGCATAACTTTGCATTTCTGTACATTAAATTTCATCTGCCATTTTAGTGCCCAGTCCCCCAATCTATCCAAATTTCTCTGCAGAAAAGCAATATCCTGCTCACATTTTATTACTTTACAAAGTTTTGTGTCATCTGCAAACTCTGAACCATGGCTTTACTATTTCAAGATCATTTATAAATGTTAAAAAGAAGCGGTCCTAAAACAGAACCATGAGGGATACCAGTTACCACTTTTGTCCAGCCTGAAAATTTACCATTAATGACAACTTGTTGTACTCTATCCTTAAGCCGATGTTCTACCCAAGAACAAGAATATTAATCTAGATCAATTTGTTTTAGTTTGAAGACAAACCTATTTTGAGGAACTGTAACAAATGCCTTGGCAAAATCCAAGTAGATCACATCCACTGCAACACCCTAATCTATACTTCTACTTATTTCTTTGCAGAATGCAATTAGGTTAGTTTGACATGACCTATGTTTCATAAAATCATGCTGATTATTGCTAATAACAAAGTTCTTCCCAAAGAATTCCTGAATATTATCCCTTAATTAAGTTTAAAGAAAAGCCTACTGTTTATAGCATCCACTGTGCAGTCCTATGGCAACCAAGCAATGTTTTCACTTATCAGTGACTTACAAGATGTTTTGAGATATTAATGGTAATAATATTTTTTTCCAGTTAGTGTTTCTCTAAATGGCACAGTTGATATCAGCTTCAGTTCCCTCTCACATCCAACTACATACTTTAAGTCTATTCTCTGGGCTCTGACTTATACGGTATATGGGCTATTACTTAACTTCTATTCTATTCTGTCTTTCCAATGGCCATGCTTAAAAAACAAACAGCAACAGCGAGGTGCAATATAAATGACCAATTTTCTTTATTCTTATCATGTATGGGTTATTAAAAATCATATGGCATAAGACGTAGCGATATGCCATAGGGCAGCAGTCTAGGCTTTTTTAAATTTTAACCAGACCCATTTGTTTTAGTGTAGAACCACTGGCTAAGGTCTAGCCCCACAAAATACATAAAGTGGAGAACCTGAAGATATGTGGGAAGTGCCCAAAGATCCAACACAATAATGTAAAATCTCAAGATTAAATACAAAAGCCAGAGGTACAGCCACTGACAGCAAATCTAAGTTATGGTAGTCATTTTAGATATGGCAAATTACGTCAAAATCGTCATCAGGAAAAGTTAACTCTTTCCTGGATAGGAAGGTTTCGTTAGACGAGACTGCCCTCTATGGATCAAATACCTAAATTGCGATCCATCGATTGAATCCATCTATGGCTTCCTATTGGTTAATCAACTAATGACGTACAAAGAGTCTGGCCCTTTAAAAGTAAGGACAAAGGGAAAAGTTGGAGATACAGAGAGAGGAGTTGGAAGTTTGGGGATTCCGATTCGGACATGCAGAGATGGACACTCAACTCACAAACTCTTTGACACTTTCTAACCAACACCACTTTTCACTATCACTCACGCACCTCCATACGACCAATCAAGTTCCTGGGACTAACTACTCATCTGATGAGAATATCTACATAACTGGTAATTATGCTGGTTTTATTTAATTAATTTAAATTTACTAATAGCATGATAGATGACTGGATAAATCACGGTCAGATTTCCATATTTAAGAAATCTTAGTTAACTAAAGAATATATAGTCATAAACATTCCATTCTGCAGGTGGAATTAAGAATAATTATATACTAATGTGATATTATCACGTGTTAGCATACTGCTGTTTTTATCCAGTTGTATTGATTTGTTCTAATATAAGATAAGATATCTTTTTAGGCAAATTAAAATTCGGCTTATAGAATCTGGTAGATTATTCTTATTGGATGGTTCCAGGAAATGATTAATGAGTTGGTTCAAATGTTATTTTAATTGAAAATCACAGGAGAATAGGATACTATATGCCTAGGAGGATCTAGCCAGCAGTGAAAGGGTTATTCAGTTGTTTTAACTGTTAGCCAAGGTTTTATGGCTTTTCGCTGTGTGAAGCTCACCCTCATAAATCTTATTAAGTGACAGAAGATGCTGTTAGCCCTTTAAACGTGTATAGCCATTCCATTGTATTGCATATTTATGTTATACTAAATATTCACTGATTACTATCATGCATGCTGCCTAATATTATTTGTTATGTTATTTGTTACAATAAAAATAAATCTATTTTTATAACAGATTGTGATTTATTTATGGAATACTTTTCACTTATTTGATAAACGATCTCTAAGATCTAAGAGAATTGAAATAGTGGGCAATTCTCGACTGCTTAATATTATCATCCCATAAATATCCAAACAATGCATCCAGTTGCTGTTTAAACATATGTACGGACTCTGATAAAACCACTTCTTCAGGCAGATAATTCCATATCCTTATTGTTCCTACAGTAAAAAAAACAACTTTCCTTTGCCTTAGACTAAATCTTATATCTTCTAGTCTAAACGCATTACCTGATGCTTCGGAAGATCAATTAGCATTCCACTAACACGTTTCTCCTCAGTCAAGCACAACTTTCATATTTGAGATAAAAGCACTTTTTAATCCGGTAAATAAAATATAATAAATTTAATTATTCTAAACAAGAGTTCCTTTTCAGAATAATTAAATTCATGTTAAAGGGACACTATAGTCACCCAGACCACTTCAGCTCAATAAAGTGGTCTGGGTGCCATGGCCCTCAGGATTTTACCCTGCAGCTGTAAACATAGCAGTTTCAGAGAAACTGCTATGTTTACATTAGGGGTTAATCCAGCCTCTAGTGGCTGTCTTCCTGACAGCCTCTAGAGGCACATTTGCGACGCCGGATGCAAATTTTGTATCCATCGAGCAGAGCGCCTATAGGAAAGCATTGAGAAATGCTTTACCATGGGCTGTTTGAATGCGCGCGCGGCACTTGTGCATTCCGCTCCAGTTGGGAGCTGACTTCAGCGGGCGAGGAGAGGTCACCAGCGCAGAGGAAGCCCGGTGCTGGATTAAGGTAAGCTGCTGAAGGGGTTTTAACTTCAGCGCCACGGGAGGGGGACCGCTTTGGAAAAACGCTAGTAATCATTTAATATATTTTCACTGTAATGCCATGAGCCCCTCTAAAAATTCACACAGACACACTGTGTGTCATCTTAAATTTCCTATATTTCCGATATAATTTGAAGAAAATGTTCTGAGCACACCCCCACAATTCTAAAGCTAGTGTAAACTCGCATGAAAAAAACAAAATATCATAGCCAAGGCAATTCTATTTATTTATTTATTTATTTTTTAGTAAAATGGAATAGTCAAAGAAAAAAAAAACATGTCATAGTGAAATGATAATAATAGAGGCAATACAAAAATAAGTCACTAATTTAAATTATATATATATATATATATATATATATATATATATATATCTTTCTACAATAATCCAATTGCCAAAGTCAACAAAAACTGATACAAAATAAACTCAATCAAGCTGACATGTGCTCATGTTTCCTAGGCCCCTAAAATAAGCCAAAATATTACATTATAATAAGCTAATTGAAGTGGTCTGGGTGTAATGTCCCTGCCCCCCTTAGTCCTGCAATGTACTAAGGGATATCAGCGCTGGAATCAGGTAAGTAAATAAAGGGTTCTTTAACACAGGTTTGTATTCCTAACACTATAGAATCCTTTTAATGCTTGCTGGTTCTGATCGGGGAAGTCCCCAGCGTTAATTTTTCCATAATTAATACATTTCAAACTTTGGAATAGTCTCCATTTTGGATTTATTTTTGTTAAATAATCATGAAACACAGAAACATAGAATGCAACGGCAGATAAGAACCATTTGGCCCATCTAGTCTGCCCAATTTTCAAAATACTTTCATTAGTCCCTAGCCTTATCTTATAGTTAGGATAGCCTTATGCCTATCCCACGCATGCTTAAACTCCTTTACTGTGTTAACCTCTACCACTTCAACTGGAAGGCTATTCCATGCATCCACTACCCTCTCAGTAAAGTAATACTTTCTGATATTATTTTTAAACCTTTGTTCCTCTGATTTAAGACTATGTCCTCTTGTTGTGGTAGTTTTTCTTCTTTTAAATATAGTCTCCTCCTTTACTGTGTTGATTCCCTTTATCTATTTAAATATTTCTATCATATCCCCCCTGTCTCGTCTTTCCTCCAATGACACTGTGTAATATGACTTGCGTTCTTGTTGAATTACCAAATTTTAAGACCTGCTAAGGATCAGATGATTGTTATGTCCTGATATGTAAAACCATAGACTTCAAAGAGGGTGTACTTTTTTTCCCCATGACTGTAAAATAGTATTTGAAATGTGGGACATTTTCCATACCTGAAAAATTCTGAAAGATTTTCTCCAGTTTGCGCTCTTTGCTCTCCTCCACACTGCTGTCATCGTCCTCACTATCATTATCTGTGTCCAACTGAAATCCGTCCTTCACAATAATCTCCGTTTGTTGTTTGTGCTTATAATGTTTTTCATATACTAATTGAAGATGCTGGTCCAAATCTTCACTGTCGCTGTCTGAGGAATATTCATCTTGCAGGTAGTCTTGGAAGAAACGTAGGTCCCCAGACACTGTTTTTCGAGCCATGTTCTTTACTTCTGCTGCAGTTTGGACATAGATAGTAACTAGTTTTGACTAAATGTAACTTTTTTTAACTTTAATATTTTTTACAGACATTTTCCAGACTGGTTATTGTAAATAGTAATTAACCACAGTGCAAACAGGTCATCAATAAATAGAAATTGGTCAATGAAGTAGATGCTGTAAAAAATACAGTTAGGTCTTGAAATATTTAGACACTGACACAATTTTCATAATTTTGCTCTGTGTACCATCACAATGGGTTTGAAATGAAACAACTCAGATGCAAATGAAGTGCAGACGCACAGCTATAATTCAACGGGGTGAACACAAATATTGTATGAAACATTTAAGAATTGCAACCATTTTCATACAGACCCCATATATCAGAGACTCAAATGTAATTGGACAAATTAACACAATTAAAATAAAATGTTAATTTTTAATACCTTGTCGAGAATGCTTTGCAGGCAATGACTGTTTGAAGTTTGGAACACATGGACATCACCAAACGCTGGACTTCCTCCTTTGTAATCCTTCCCAGGCCTTTACTGCAGCTGTCTTGAGTTGTTGTTTGCTCGTGGGTCTTTCTGCAAGTTTTTTCTTCAGCAAGTGAAATGCATGCTTGATTGGGGTGAGATCAGGTGATTGACTTGGCCATTGCACAATATTCCACTTATTTGCCATAAAAAAACTCTTGGGTTGCTTTCACAGTATGTTTTGGGTCATTGCCCATATGAAAAGTGAAGCAACATCCATTCAACTTCGCGGAATATGGCTGAATCTGAGAACACAATATATCCCTATACACTTCAGAATTCTTCCGACTGCTTCTGTCACATAATCAATAAACACTACTAACCCAGTGCCGTTAGAAACCATGCATGTCCATGCAATCACCATGTCTTACAGATGATGAGGTATGCTTTGGATCATGAGCCGTTCCAAGACTTCTCCATACTGTTTTCTTCCTATTATTCTGGCACAGTTTGATCTGTCCAAAAAATGATGTTCCAGAACTGGGCTAGCTTTTTTTTTTTTGGCAAAGCCTAATCTAGCCTTTCTATTCTTGAGGGTTATGAATGGTTTGCACCTTGTATTTGCTCTCGTGAAGTCTTCTCTTTATGGTACACTTGGATAATGATATACCTACCTCCTGGAGAGTATTATTCACTTGGCTGGATGTTGTGAAGGGGTTTTTCTTTACTATGGAAAGGGTCCTACGATCATCCACCACTGTTGTTTTCCATGGACGTCCAGTCCTTTTTATGTTGCAGAGTTCACCGGTGCGTTTTTTTCTTCTTCTCAGAATGTACCAACCTGTTCTTTTGGCCACCTGGAATGTTCCTGCTATTTTGTTTTTTGCAGCCTAAGAATGACCTACTTTACTTGAAGAAATAAAAAAGCCCACACCTGTCCAGCGTGTGAGTTAATTGTCCAATTACTTTTAGTCCCTTGAAAAAGAGGGGGGCTACATATTAAAGAGCAATAATTCCTAAACCCTTACTCCAATTTGGATGTGAATACTCTCAAATTAAAGCTGAAAGACTGCACTTTAAGCCCATATTAAAATTAACTGTAACTAGAATTTATTTTAGTAAAGAGACAAAATAACAAAACTTGTGTCAGTATCCAAATATTTCCAGAAGTAACTGTGTATTGGAACTGTTTATAAGACAAAAAAAAAGACCAATTTTGTTTTCTATCATGACTTGCAGACTGACACCTGAGCCCAATTCACCACTTGTTTGAGATGAATGGTGAGCCATATCATGTGCAGGGATATTTATAAAAGATCTTCTGGATACAGACTAGTTGTACCCTATTTTGAATATTTCATATGAAAATTTCATAATTTTTAAAAATGTTCTTGTCAGGAAACAGAAAACACAATACTTGTGGTGAACCTACAATTACACTAAGTGAGTGTTTATTGTTATGGTTATATTTTCCGTCTTTTGTCATCTAGGATCCATGCCCTACATGTCACCCTCAGACAACTAAACCTATAAAACAATTGCTTCTCTCTCAGTGACACACAAGCTGAGAGCTGGGAGCTGAGAAAGGATAAATTGCAGCAGTGCAAGCTAAATCCTGTTCGCAGTTACAGAAGCGATGAATGACGCAGACACACCCCATCCCTTCATTGATATGTATGGTTGTCAAGCATTGGGGCAAAAGGCATCCACAGAGAGAATATTAAATAAACGGTGGTCAGGTCATGCAAGACTGACAGGCAATTTGGTGGTTCATAAAGTTAAAGGTTACATTATACCTTAAGCATTTAATAAACACCACAGCTCAGCCCTTTGAAAACCTAATAAAATGTATGTTTATTGTATGGTCTAATTTAGTCATACAAAAATATTGTCGACTAAGGGGTGGAGTTAAGCAGTGGAGCGAGACAGATGCCATTTCGCCGGTGTCCAAGAAACTATCCGTTTAAGTAACAATTTAGCAAATTTAGTCCGTGGTTTAGAACTTTGGATAAACTCTATTATACTTACCTCTGGAGAAGCTATCAGGAGATAACCATTTTGTACCAGTGGGCCACCAGTGCTGAGAACACCCAGTCTCGCCCTGTTTCCTTAGGTGCCCCAAACTTTCCTGCACCTTGTACACTCACTAAATGCACACTCCCATGGAACGCAGATCACACAAGGCAAAGCCCTCTCTTGGTGGCCCAACCACGGATATTGGGGATGTGCTCCTTCTGTCCATGGCACCTAAGGGCCACATCATGCTAAGGCACGCCCGTCTTTCTTGTTGCCGTTTATGTTGGCTTCCCTTATTCATCATATATCCACCCCACTGCTTTTGAAACTTAATGAAACTAGTGTAATCACCATTTGGGTAGGGCTACAGAACAGACAGTTGATCAATATATAAAAAGGGATGTCTTACATATGCTTCATCTGCTATTTGGAATTGTAAGTGTAATCCCCGTAAAATTTGCTGCAATGTATTATGAAGTGCATTTCCCACAATAAAGAAAAAATAAAATAAATAAATACATTTTGCCTACAATATGCTACCGTTTGGCTGAGCACAGCAATTGCTACTCATGTCCAATAGATCCCTGTTTCTTCTTTGTAAGAAGTACTGGGATTCAATCAGATCATTTGCACAGATGATCTTAGACGAGGAGGGGCAGCTGCCTGAAGAAGACAGACCAGCAATGGATTAAAGGTCAGAAAAAAAACATCCCTGCTTTTTCTGTAATAAAAGGAAGGTAGGCCTGATGATCTACACCTACAAGGGAAAACTGTAACTTTAAAAACAAATATTTATTTTTAATGTTACAGTGTTTCTTCAAGTTACCATAATGCTACCACCAAACCCACTTAACCTTATAATGATACCTCACCCCATTATCTTAATGGTGTCTTTTTTCTTCCTATAGCAGGGAAAATTAGTCACCATGAGGTTGCTATTTAGAGGAGTCAATTTTAAACATATTTCTCTGCTGTCATTAAGTTCCATAAGAAAATAGCAGGAACCCATTCAACTCACAGCAGTAACCATTCAGTTAATATTGAATACAGTAAACCTCCGTGAAATTTTATCAACCAAATGCTAGAGAATTGGGCTGAATGAAAGTGACCTGATTTACAATAGCAAAGTTCCATTTACTGACAGACCTGTGTTTTATGTATAAACTCTAAGTTATATAAATTCCACGTTAACATGAGTTGGTAAAAAAAAAGTATTTCAGAGTACAAACATTATAGATCTCTAGCTAAATTGTCCAAATATGTATTTCTTTAATATAGAAATAATACTATGGGGGGCGGGGCCGTCAAGCTGAAATAAAGCCATCTCATGCAGCTTCGGTCCTGAGCCTGAAAAAATGCTGATTTACCGCTCGCAAACTGACCATCTATAAACTACATAGTATATTTGAACAGGGGAATAAACAAGCACTAGCAATAGACCAGTTTGGGGCCCAAACCCCACAAATATGAGGATTCAGAAACCTTTGGCCTACTGGATGGCATGAGCCTGCAGCCTAATGCTGAAGTCGGAAACACTCTGCCCGTGTCCCGTGAATCACCATGATATGGAGGTAACTGCCTTCCTCAATTTGCAAAGTCGACCGGAGAGGTCACGCTGCAGCCCCGCTCCCCGTTACTTGTTTCCCGGTTTTAAATTACAAGTTTCCACTTACGAGTTAATGGTTCCCAGCCTTCACTTGCTGGACTCAGGATACAGCTTTGACCCTATGTACCAAGTCACTGCATGGGAGGCAGCGTTCACACTGCGGAAGCTCCCTTCTTGCCCTGCGAGGGAACAGACGACACGACTCTCAACATACCAGGAGTCTGCGCATGCACCGCTCATGCGCCTCAGAGGGACGGCCGACAAGTTATGGCAACACGAGAACCAGGCTGTCTCAGGTTGGACGACAGCAACCCCTATCTCTAGGTGATCCGGAGACCTGGAGGGTGTTGCTCTCCGCTGCTGTGAGCCTGGCCGTGCTGGACTGTGGGCTCTGGGGGTCTGTGGTGGACCGGTGGCCGCGGGGCCGTATGGCTAATGCTTTGGAGGAGTGGCCCGCGACAGAGGGGGCTGACAGAGGTGCCCTGTCTGACCTACCGAGATTCTGTCGGGACAGTGGAGGTGCAGAGGTCGCCCAGCTGGTGGACTCTAGGAAAAGGGGCTCTCATAGACTGAGGGGACCCTCAAGTGTCTGCTGTACCGAGAAGCTCATGGTGGGTGGCTTTACCCTGGAGTCGAGTGACATTAATGATGTCATTTAATGATACATTTGCATGCAGAGATAGCCTTTGCCTATGGCAGTCAGAAATATAGATACATTCTCATGCAGAGATAGCCTTTACCTGTGGCAGGCAGAAATATAGATACATTCTCATGCAGAGATAGCCTTTACCTATGGCAGGCAGAAATATAGATACATACTCATGCAGAGATAGCCTTTACCTATTGCAGTCAGCTATCATCCAGTAACCAAACCCCCCCCCCCTTTTTATATATAACCTGGCTGTACGTGCTTGGACCAAGGTTCCTGGAGTCCATGAGAGGACTCTGCTAGGGACCTTCACGATGAGAGGACTCTGCTAGGGACCTACAGGCCCCCCCCCTTATTCTCGGGGGCACCCCCTTTTTCCCTTTTCCCTCCTTTGTACCTTATCACACTCTACCTGTTCAGATCCATTGCAGGAGATATACACACCACATTCCTGACATTGTCTAAGCTGTAGATTCACAACTCCAGCAGTAGAATAGGGTAGATTACACAGCCGAGATAATGTTACCACTTCTATCACACAGGTAGGGAAAAAGATATATAAGGGCTGCGCCAAAAGTCCGGTAACGTATATCTAGAATACTGGTAGATCGTCAGGGATACTGGAGAAGGTTTCTTGGTGGAGGTAGGTGCTTCTGGTGTTGACCGTTCAGTATATGAAAATACAAAAGAGGTAGAGGCAACCAATGGTGCAGTATGTAAAATCCAAGGTGCGGTAGGTAACAAAAGTAGAGAACTCACATTCAGGAGAGCTATGGCCAGCTCTGGTGTGAATCACGTACAGCGGTATAATCCCCGCTTATGGGATATGTAGGGGAGGGCTCTCTCCGTCAGCACCGTCTGGTAATCCAAAACTCGGGAGAAGAGATAGAAGCAACAATAGTGCTCTCAATTGTGATATAGTTGAATGTGCAATAGATAGAAAAAGGAACTCACATTTGAGGGAATAATGGCCTTCTCTGGTGTGGATAGCGTACAGCGGTATAATCCCCGCTTATGGGATATGTGGTGGTAGTACGTCCGTCAGCACCGTCTGGTGGTCCAAAGCTCCAAGACAGAAGGATAAAAAGCAGCAATGGTGCTCTCAATTGTGATGGGATACAGGAGTAAAATAACAAATAAAATAATACTCATAAAGATAGAGCAGAGGTACTGCTCTATGAATGGGCGTTGGTGGTATGATCCCCACCTGGGATTTCTTGGAGTACTGGAACAGTAAAATTGCCAGTGGAAGTGGAAGTAGCAGGAACGTTAAAATGCCAGGAATAAGTAAAAAAGTTTAAAGTGCATAGAGAGTACAATAAAAAGAGGATTGGTACGGTAAGGTAACCAAAATACTTTTATTGTTCTAAAATACACAATAAAATATAAAAGTAATAAACCATAAACGCGTTTTACCATAAGTGGCTTCTTCAGAATCCCATTTGGACCACCAGACGGTGCTGACGGACGTACTACCACCACATATCCCATAAGCAGGGATTATAACGCTGTACGCTATCCACACCAGAGCTGGCAATAGCTCCCTCAAATGTGAGTTCCTTTTTCTATCTCTTGCACATATCCCAGACGATCTACCAGTATTCTAGATATACGTTACCGGACTTTTGGCGCAGCCCTTATATATCTTTTTCCCTACCTGTATTTATTCACTGAAGGACTTGAGGGGTTCTCCTTCCTTTGGGTTGCTGCCTACCTTTACAAATTGTGTGGTGATTACAGCTGTATTCTCTTTTTTCGTGTTACTTCTGTCACACAGTAAACTACCAGCAACCACTGGTTCACAGATGTAAACCACCACAAGAGCTACCCATGCTCTATACCCTTCTTCTCACATATTTACACTCAATGTTCACAACTGTCATATAGTATATTGATTGGGTTCTTAGAATTACACTTTTTTAGGTTCCTCGTTTTTTACTTTTCTTGGCTAATTTGCACATAACATAATTGAGGTCCCGCTGTGTTAAAAAAGAGGGAAAAAAGTTTAATTCTTCTAACATTTTGTGGCCACACTCTTGCACCAGAGACCAACCTCATTGCGTTGTTATACTCCAATAATATGGCACACCATTATAAACTGCAGTAGGGTCGCATTTCTAAATGCAACAATATGCAAATTGACGTGTATAAGGTTCACACTCCCAACCACTAATGTATGCAAATTGATGTGATTTTACTATCTTCCTTTTATTGACTCGTTTGCACATGACACAAATGTAGCACTGTCATCTTTAAAGTTTTGTAACCATACACATGTACCTGCGACCAACCTCAATAATGGTCATACTGCAAGATTATTGTACACCACTGTGTACTGCAAAATAGACGCATTTCTAACTGCAAATTTATGTTAATAAAAGCAATCCTTGAATAAAAAAAATAATACTATATTTCAGAATAAAACAAATATTAATGTCTACCATTTAAAGGGCTACTCGCTGTAGTAATTATGATGGAAGGTGACGTTCCAGGGTAATGGGGCAAACTTTTTTTCCAACAGTTTGACTTCCTACCCGGTGCTTGCTGGGAGCCAGATATCCAATATTTACGACATCCAGCTTCTGCAGAGCTTAAGATGTTAGATGGTGATCGTGCCACTCATTCATTGGCTCAGAGCGTCAGCTGACTGATCTCTGCCAAAGAATAACATTTTATGCAATGACATTTTCACCCGGGCTGGAACTCTAGTTTTGAGCTGGTTGATGACACCACAATAATGTTACCAGAGGTGGAGTTACAGCTCCATGGAGCAGAGGGTTAAATTCCGTTTCTACAGCATTTCCAAACAAAACGTTTTACATACAGACTCTAGACACCATGACCACTTTAAATCCCTCATGGTGCCTGGAGTACCCTAAGTCCACTATATATAAATGTATTCAATATAGAAAGAAACTTATAATAAAACACTTACAGGCCCAAACTGGTGAAAGTTCTCCTTCGTGATGCTCGTGATGACCACATGTTCCTTTTGCACATGATCTAAATAAAAATAGCATTTAATTCTCAGTGATTATAACAATAGAAGCCATTCACCAATGTTTTAACTGTGTACTGATACCAACAGATTCATCAAAGTCCATGATTTAATAAGAAGAAAAGAAGAAGCAGAGGATACAATTTCATTTTTTTGTCAGTTGACATTCTGCTATTAAACAGTCTAACTGACATACAATTTAGTGATCTACATTAAATCTGTCTTAGGGGCTTTTACCATTTATGTTGCAGTATGGACCAGCCTCTGTCATTTTGAATTTTGTTATGTGTATGTGCACATAGTACTATTAGTTTTGTTTTGTAGTGGGTCTTTTTGTCATATGAGACTTTTTAGGGATTTATACTTTTATTAAAAGTTAAGTTTTCATATATATTTCTTTTAGTATTCCATTGCTTATATAGTATATTGTATCCTCTGCTTCTTCTCTTTTTCTCATTTCTCTACAGGGGTTATCCCCCAATTAGGAGGTATACATAGGCATTTATTATACTTTTTCTTTTTTTCTTGCTTTTCTTTTTGTTGCATCCATGATTTAATAAGTCTAAATGATGAAAAACTGTTAGAAACAATTTCCAAATGATGTTTTTCCAAAAATCCCTATAGACTTTAATGGAGACTTCTGCAATAAAACATTTGGAAAGCTTTTCTAACTTTATCACTACAAAAAGCTTATTAAATCAAGACCAAAGTTAGTCATTTTCCAATTGAATTATTACATTTGCTAACAAAAGAAGAAATACAAAGAAAATCCCCTTTTATAATCATGTTAACACCGTGTGCACATGAATGAATCATAGAATTTTGGAAATCAAATTATCTACATTTATCATCTGTGCATCTAATGAACTAATTGCCAATTCAAAAGACGCAAGAAAAATAAGTTATGCTCAGAATCCCTAAAAAGCCCAATATTTACATTGCAACTAGCATGTGTTTTTTCTGGCATGAATTTTGAAGTTGTGCAATTACTGGAGAAAACAAATCGTTCTTCAAATCCACAAAACAAAATAAACACAAATTAAATTTAAAAAAAGCTTCTGGTTCCATTATCGCACTATGGAACTCAAGCAAGTTAAGTAGTGCTGGGTCCCATAGTGATCTGGGGCATCCAAATCATTTTTCTCTTTTAAAGCCACACACCTTCTCTTCAAATTAGCATCACACACTAGTAAAGTAACACCTATGATGGAGGGCATACAGTAAAACATGCTTTTCAGCATAAATTCAGAATGGCACAGCAGTAATGGAAAACAGGATTGTTCAGATTGTGTTTTTAAATGCTGTATATCAGCAGGAAGGCTGACAAATGATGGACACAGAAGTAAGTACAGGTAGTAAATTTCTCATGCTCATGATAATGAAATGAGTTTTCAGAACTGTAAGTGGCAGCAGAGGTTGCTGTGAGTTCCCTTTTTAGTGTGAGGGTATGAACCCTCAGGGCAGGTGAATATACACAGATATTGAAAGTAAATAAAGCTTCAATACAATTGAATGCATACATCCTGTCGAGATGTAGTATTATGCAGTGTGGTTAACATCACAGCTTGCTGGCAAATTATCTTGCTCTGGGCAAGCTTGTTGAATCTAGTTCTTACAACTCAAATGTTATCTACTGATTATAAATATATGTAAATCTTGCTTTACTGTTTAATCTAACCTCCCAACTCTCTTTTCTTTATCCACATAGAATAAAATTATGTTCATTATATCCACACATAAGAATATGATGGTTATGTAGTTATGTGTGTCTCTTTCAGTCTCTAAATACTGTTCAACTAATAAGCTGCTGTGATACGGAACATAATTGTATTTTTTATATATTATCAGGAAATAGCCAATAGCTTACCGGTCACATCTTTTAGAATCTTTGTCATTCGTTTTAAAACTAAAATTTGGATTTGTCTTTGAAGGTTGTTTTAGTACCTAAAAAAAAATAAAAAAATCAAAGTTGATTTGTTACAATACAGGAGATGGCGAAAAAAAAAAAAAAAAGTATTTAATTGTTGATTTAAAAATTCTTAAAAATTCTTACACAATTTTACAGTGAATTCTGAAAAGGGCATTTAAAATATTATAATGTTAAACTTTTTAAAAGAAACTTAATTGAAATCTGTATTTAACACATTAGTTAGTGCTAGGCAGATTGAAACCAATATTTTTAGAATGTATTATTGTGTAAATCAGTCATGTCCAAAGTCCGGCCCGTGTTCCAGTTTAAAGGACCACTCTAGGCACCCAGACCACTTCAGCTTAATGAAGTGGTCTGGGTGCCTGGTCCAGCTAGGGTTAACCCATTTTTTCATAAACATAGCAGTTTCAGAGAAACTGCTATGTTTATGAATGGGTTAAGCCTTCCCCTATTTCCTCTAGTGGCTGTCTCATTGACAGCCACTAGAGGCGCTTGCGTGCTTCTCACTGTGATTTTCACAGTGAGAGCACGCAGCGTCCATAGGAAAGCATTATAAATGCTTTCCTATGTGACCGGCTGAATGCGCGCGCAGCTCTTGCCGCGCGTGCACATTCAGCCGACGGGGAGGAGAAGAGGAGGATCGGAGGAGGAGAGCTCCCCGCCCAGCGCTGGAAAAAGGTACGTTTTAACCCCTTTCCCCCTTCCAGAGCCGGGCGGGAGGAGGTCCCTGAGGGTGGGGGAACGCTGAATTCCTGACCGGTGCACAGGGATTCACTAGGGGCCAAGAGATCGCGAGAACGCTGAATTCCTGACTGGTGCACAGGGATTCACTAGGGGCCAAGAGATCGCGAGAACGCAGATGGACATGCAGTCACTGCTCGTCCTCAGTCTGTGTTCCTGCGATTTCTTGGACGTCACAGGATTTCTTGGACGTCGAGGGATTTGGTTCCTTCTCCTTGGAGGCACAGACTAAAGAGGCAGAGAATAAAGAGACAGAAAATAACGAAGCAGACAATAAAGAGGCAGAGAATGAAAGGACAGAATAAAGAGAGACAGAATTAATGAAAGAAGGAACAGAATAAAGAGAGACAGAATGAAGGGACAGAATAAAGAGACGGAATTAAAGAGAGAAGAGACAGAATTAAAGAGAGAAGGGACAGAATAAAGAGATGGAATGAAAAGTATGCCGTTTGCAATAAACTTTGCAAAAAATAGTTAATTTGCATTTACACCCTGTTACAAATTATTATGCAAATTCTATTTGTCACAAAGATTAAATATTTAGTTTTTCAGTTTAACTCATGGATGGCATTGTGTCTCAGGGCTCTTTTGATCACTGAAAACAATCTCGGACACCTGTGATAATTAGATTGCCAGGTGAGCCCAATTTAAGGGAAAACTACTAAAGGAGGGTGTTCCACATTATTAAGCAGAGCACCATTTTCATGCAATATGGGGAAGAAAAAGGATCTTTCTGCTGCCGAAAAGAGTGACATAGTTCAATGCCTTGGACGAGGTATGAAACATTAGATATTTCACGAAAACTTTAGCGTGATCATCGCACTATTAAGAGATTTGTGGCTGATTCAGAGCACAGACGGGTTTGTGCAGATAAAGGCACATTGGGGAAGATTTCTGCCAGATCCATGCGTCGGATCAAGAGTGCAGCTGCTAAAATACCATTATATAGATATTTAAAGCTGCTGGTGCCTCTGGAGTCCCACGGACATCAAGGTGTAGAGTCCTACAGAGTCTTGCAACTGTGCATAAAATTCTATTCGGCCACCACTAACCAATGCTCACAAGCAGAAACGGCTGCATTGGGCAGAAAAATACATGAAGACTAATTTTCAACCAGTCCTGTTCACTGCTGAGTGCCGTGCAACCCTGGATGGTCCAGAAGGATGGAGTAGAAGTACTCTCTTCCCTGGTACAGAAGGAAGAACTATGCTTTCCGTAATAAAATCATCTTCATGCATGACAATGCACCATCTCATGCCGCAAAGAATACCTCTGCATCAATGGCTGCTATGGGGATAAAAGGAGAAAAAGTCATGGTGTGGCCTCCATCCCCCCCTCACCTCAATCCTATTGAGAACCTTTAGAGCATCCTCAAGCAAAATATCTATGAGGGTGGGAGGCAGCTTACATCCAAACAGCAGTTTTGGGAGGCTATTCTGACATCTTGCAAACAAATTTAAGCAGGAACTGCCCAAAAACTCACAAGTTCAATGGATGGAAGACTTGTGAAGCTGCTATCACATAAGGGGTCCTATGTTAAAATGTAACTTGACATGTTAAAAGGTTTAAAAAGTTAAAATGGTGTTATAAGTTTGATTGCAATGGCTTTTGATGTCAGTAAATATGCTGCAAACACAACAAATGACATTTGTCAGTTCTTTACAACCTATAAAGTGTTTTGAAACTTACTGTGCATAATAATTTGGAACAGTGCATTGTAAGTTTTTTATGTTTTAAAAAAATACTGTTATCATTAGGAGGTTTGTTCAATACAATTTGAATTGTATTCTTAATAGTTGATAACATGAGAATTATGCTGACTGTTATTTACATCAATTATTTAGGTAAATGAGAAAAATATTATTTGCATTATAATTTGGAACAGGGTGTACTTTTAATGGTTCAAAGAATGTCAGGTAAAATGGTCGGCCCTCACGCATGTTCACTTCATCAAATCTGGCCCTCTTTGAAAAATGTTTGGACACCCCTGGTGTAAATGTATGGACTAAAAAATATACATACATAAGGTGGAGCTGGTATAGTATGAATCTGTAAAGATAAAATATAACAAAACAATAGTGCTATATTGCGGGTACAAATACTTTAAAATAATAAAATCTGGAGTGTCACTCACAAATGAAGAGCCATTAACCTCATATGGCTCTGATGGAAAGCGTGGTAGGACACTTGAAGGAGGTCCAACTCCTATTTCTCCCAGTCTGCTTTGTATACCTCTGGAAACCAGGACACAGGATGCTGACGGTTTACTTGTAAAAAATGCTTTATTGATTAAATAAAATCTAATATAAAAGAAAAAACCTTATGTTGTGTATGGACAGTATAGTCCTAGAGAGTTCAAAAAAGTCCAAAACGCATTTTGCCCCTATAGTGGGGCTTCCACAGTTGGTTAAGATCCTCTGCTGTATTTTCTTAGTTTTAAATATACCACTTTTGCTTTACTTCCGGTTCTGAGTTTTCGGTACGTAATTTCCGGTATATTTCTTCAATGGAACGCATCGTGCGTTGCAGACGTCACATGGATATAATTCCGACATCCGGCAACGATATAATCTCCTGAAAGTGTCCGTGCTTATTAAAGGGGAAGAGGGGTATATTGCAAAATGTATGACCTAGTTTACTATTTTTTTTTTATCAGGATTTATCCATGGCTGGTAATTAGTGATTCACTGAGCCCTTCAGAATGTGATGCTTGGTTTTATTTTAAAGGGACACTGTAGTCACTGTAGCCACCAACAACTTTAGCTTAATAAAGCACTTTTGGTGTATGGTTCATGCCCCTGCAGTCTCACTGCTCAATCCTCTGCCATTTAGGATCACACAGATCCTTGCAACATGGGGCCGTGCATTATCATGCTGCAACATGAGGTGATGGTCGTGGATGAATGGCACAACAATGGGCATCAGGATCTCATCACGGTATCTCTGTGCATTCAAAATGCCATCAATAAAATACACCTGTGTTCGTTGTCCATAACCTACGCCTGTCCATACCATAACCCCACCGCCACCATGGGCCACTCGATCTACAACGTTGACATCAGCAAACCGCTCACCCACACAGCGCCATACACGCTGTCTGCCATCTTCCCAGAACTGCAATCTGCCATACCCGCTGTATCCCATCTGTCCAGTGAAAACTGGGGTTCATCTGAGAAGAGAACCCCTCTCCAAAGTGCCAGACGCCATCGAATGTGAGCATTTGCCCACTCAAGTCGGATACAACGACAAACTGCTGTCAGGTCGGGACTCCGATGAGGACGACGAGCATGCAGATGAGCTTCCCTAAGACGGTTTCTGACAGTTTGTGCAGAAATTCTTTGGTTATGCAAACCGGTTGTTGCAGCAGCTGTCCAGGTGGCTGGTGTCAGATGATCTTGGAGGTGAAGATGCTGATTGTAGAGGTCCTAGCCTGGAGTGGAGGTGGATGGATTATCTCGGCAAAGGAGAAGTGCTCACTAACACAGATTTAGACAGATTTGTGAACAATATTTAGAGAAATAGGCCTTTTGTGTCTTAGATCTTTGAGTTCTGCTCATGAAAAATGGGGACAAAAACAAAAGTGTTGAGTTTATAATTTTATTCAGTGTATATATTTTTAAAATGTATCATTAGTGACATTGTAACACTGTTATCTGTCATAAATCTCTGAATCACATCTCACACGTACATTTTTTTTAAAGTAGACAGGATATTCAATATGAGGTATGTCCAGTGTTTTTTTAGTAGCCACTTAGTCACAAACACTGGCCAAAGTTAGGATTTATATTTGTTTGTGTGTTAAAAATGCAAAAAACTATTATGAATGCTAACTTTGGCCAGTGCTTGTGACTGAGTGGCTATTAAAAAAGACTGAACATACTTTGGTTTGCCTACTATTGACAATGGTATGTTATCATGGGGGTAATTATCATTCCTGGGCTACCATACGCTCTCAAAGGCAACATAACCAATCTGGCACATTTCAATGTGAAAAAACGTTAAATCAAACCTTATATTTGACCCTGTAACTTTCAAAAACACTATAAAATCTGTATATGGGGGGTACTGTTATACTCGGGAGACTTCACTGAACACAAATATTAGTGTTTCAAAACAGTAAAATGTATCGCAACAATGATATCATCAGTGAAAGTGCCGTTTGTCTGTGAAAAATGCAAAAAACTTCACTTCCACTGACAATATTATTGCCGTGATATGTTTTACTGTTTTGAAACACTAATATTTGTGTTCAGCTAAGTCTACCGAGTAAAACAGAACCCCCCATGTACGGGTTTTAGGGTGTCATGGAAAGTTACAGGGTTAAATATATTGCTAGCAAATTAAATTATCTGGACTTTCTGCCTGGGTTATCAGGCAGGTCCTTCAAATTGCAATCATTAAAATTAGTTAATTATGTAAAAAGATTACATAAATATGCACATATAATTTAAATACATATACATATTTATATATTTGAAGTCTACGTGTATATTTATGAAATTATTTAATTATGTATATGGATATATATATATATATATATATATATATATATATAATATTATTTTTATTTCTTTATACATACATAGATAGATAGATTTACAGTGGGACCTCGGTTTACAAATTTAATGTGTTCTCCGGGACGTTTCTTATTGCGAAACATTTGTAAACCGCAGTTTCCCGTAGGAATGCATTGAAAACCAATTAATCTGTTCTGGAGGTCAGAAAAAAAGACAAAATGAGCGGACATGGAAACCAACCCACAATGCAGAACACACAATAAAAGGCATGGGAACGACGAGGCTCAGCTCCCTACTTTTCCACAGCTTGAGAAATGCACCAAAAAGTCACAAAACAACTGAAAACTATTTCCAGAATGGCTCCAAAACTCGATGCAAAAGCCGCTCCAACACCTCCACACTCAACGCCACATGCTACCTACAGGCTCCAGCATGCAGGGGGCGGTGTGATAAACCTCCCAGGTGAAATGCATCCTGGGGAAACTTGCTTTGTATTGCGAAAAAAAATTGTAAACCGAGGCATTATTTTCAATGGATTTTCATTTGTAAAACGAACATTATGTTAACCGAGGCGTTTGTAAACTGAGGTCCCACTATATAAATATATATATATATATATATATATATATATATATATATATATATATATATAATTTCATTCTAAGTGTATTTTGAGATAAATATATATTCATAACAAAATACAGTTAGAATAAAATTACATATATAGAGCAATCACATGGCCCGCAGGGGCCTAATTTGCCGAGGTGGACTACCTGGGCTGTCAGTCCCCCCAGACCGTGAGCAATACCGATCGCCGGTGGGGGAACAGTGGCAATTGGGTAAGTAATAAGGACAGCTCATAATTGCCGCGGACGTATAAGGACCGTTTAAGGTCTGCGGTCCTTAAGAAGTTAAACTTTTGATCTTTTGTCCAAAAAATACTCTGCTCTCATGGATATTCAACAAACGCAAATACAACACAGGTTTATAAAAAGAAAAAGTGATAATAATAATAATAATTGGTAAATATATGTGAGGCTCAATTATTGACACCCCTATAATTGCATATGAGAAAAAATATATTTGAAGTATATTCACATTGACATTTTAAATTTTTTTGGAACAGGAAGTTGTTGCTTTAACAATCTTTTATCAATTTATGAAAAGCGATTGTAATTTTAGCAGTGAAATTGGAGAGCTCATTTACTCCTCCACCACCCTAACTAGTAGAGATATGACTTGTTATAACTTCCATTACTATTTGGAAGCAGGAGACAGCTGTCAATTTCAGAACATGTGCAGCTATTTAATGAGTCAAATGAATTCCTGGCAGAGAAATTTTTTCATCTACTGGCTGGAAATCCTTGGCAAATGAATGAAAATGAGTGAAACTTTATAGGATAAAGCAAATTAATGTAAAACTGTGTGTGCACGATTTTGAGCGTGAAAGGTTTAAAGAATTGACAACTGACATCACATTCCAATTCATTCCAGGCACAACATTGCGTTGGAGAAAGAGAAATAGAAACATTATATTAGTTTACAAAACATGTTTCGGTAAAACTTGGAATTTTTAAATCTAACACTACAGCCAAGCACAAGGCAATAAAGTTTGACTGCAAATATAAAGATCTAGCATTGCAAAAGTGTGTTTAATTAGTGAGTAGGGTACAATGGTGCATCATAAGCTGGATAATAGAGATGCTTTAGATACATTTCCAACACTGATCACATTTTAAAAAATTTATTCTTTTTACTCAAAGTGTAACTACATTGAGTGCTAATAAAAGGTGTTTCAACAAAATCTTGACAATGTGAAGATGTAGTAATGTTGCATGAAACTTTAGAGTCAACACATTGATAGGATTATTGATAGGATTCCAGAATTAAGTGGCTTTGTGTGGTAAATTCATTTATCTAATTGAAACTAAAAAAGCTTGTCACTACTGTAAGGTACTACAAAAATAACATCACGACATTTGATCCTCCACCACAACAGATTAAATGTTCTTCACCTGGGTTTTTGGTTTTCCCTCATTTTTGTTGGTTTGTTTTAAGCCACAACTAGTCCAGATGTCTTCCTTCCTTGTTTCTATTTCTTCAGGTCTCATAACACTCTTGCTACCAAGCTTTCTCATGTCCACTTTGGCTTTTATATTGTCAGGCCTGTGCCATAAGTCACTTTCAGGGGGCATGTATTGTTGAGGAGGTCCTACAGCAGTCCATCCAGCATATGATTTACTCTTGAGAAAGCTGACCACATTATCCACCTCATCTGAAGAATTTTGAAGAATGCGCTCACTGGATGATTCTTTGAGTCTCTTCGTCTCAGCTCCCTTACATTTGTTTAACTTTTTGTTTTCACCTTCATTTTTACAGGTTTTATTATCCTCTGACAGTGCTGTAAGGTGAACTATTGTAGAATTTATATGTTTTCGAATGGAACACAACTTGCCCTCTAACATTTGTATTTCTGTTATCCAGTCACTATTTGGTTCTGAAATCTCTGAAATACTATCCTCGTCTACCACACTTGATTCTATGTCTGTTTCAGAAATACTTGTTCCTGATAATGAACAGTTACCACTATGTGATCTTTGAGGTTCCAAAGTTTCAGTCTGAGAATGACTCTTCTTCTCCTGGTCTGTCAGATCCTCAGTTTGAGATTCAGAATGTGAAACTGTATTACTCTCGCTATTACTCAGAAATAACAGTTGTTGTGATCCCTTTTCTACATTCATTCTGACCAGAGATTCAGTATCTGAAGAATCAATATCAGAAGGTTCACAGTTTTGATGAATATTTGCTTTTTCTATTTCATTTATCTTCTGGTCCTGGTCATCTATTCAAAAACAAAAGACATTCCCTTTGAAGAAGTAAAGTAAAAGAGATTATATAGTAATTACTGCTCAACCTAGGTTTTACTGTATGAAATCACTACACATCATTAACATCTTTGTTTACAAGAAACAATTCTAAGTTGTTTTTTTTGTTAGCAATATGAACTTTTCAATTCCACATCTCATTAAATCATTACTGTCAATTTATACTCAGTCAAATAGCTCAAAATGTAATAACAGACAGAGATAGCCTAAATTTCATCATATGAAAAGTGTGGAAATATGACAACTTTGGTGCAAAATATGTAAGATATACTAAAATTATCACTGTCTTTACATGGTAGGTAAAGTTATTAACCCCTTAAGGACCGAGGACGGTTCAGGACCGTCATCGGCATTTTTGCGTTGCCGACCGATGACGGTCCTGAACCGTCCTAACGGTCAGAGCTACTTACCTGATCGCCGTCGTTCCCGCGGCGGCGATCAGTGTGGCTCCGGTTGTGGGGAGACTGCCTGCAGCCCAGACAGTCTCCCCACGGCAGATTAGGACCCCTGTGGCCATGTGATCGCTTAACACAGCGATCAAATGGTCACAATAGGTGTCCATAGTGCTGCCTGCAGGGGGACTGTCTGTGCTGACAGGCAGTCTCCCTGCAACTGTAAAATCAGTAAAAAAAATAAAGTTAGTGTTAATAAAAAAATAAAAATAATTATATATGTGTATATATGATATATAGACATATATTATACCTATGTAATATATGTCTATATATCATATATATATAATGTCATACTAAGTGTATTTTTATATTAATATGTACTTATATTAATATAAAAATACACTTATAATTAAATTACACACGTATATATATAATATATATATAATAACTATATATAGTATATATATATTATTATAAAATATAAATAATAAGTAATTTAAATTAAATAAAAAAAATTTAAAATAATAATAAAAAATAAAAAATAAATTATATAGCTATATGAAATTTTATTCTAACTGTATTTTAAAATTAATATATATATATTTATATCAAAATACACTTAGAATGAATTTGTATATATATCTATGTATATAAAAATAAATAAAAATAATAAGAAATATACATACGTCCATATACAAAATTACATAAATAATTATATAAATATACACGTAGACTTCAAATATATAAATATGCATATATATTTAAATTCTACGTGCGTATTTATGTAATATTTTTAAATAATTCAGTAATTTTATTGATTGCAATTTGAGGGACCTGCCTGCCAACCCAGGCCGAAATTCCAGAGAATTTAATTTGCTAGCACTGTATTTTACCCTGTAACGTTCTACGACACCCTAAAACCTGTACATGGGGGGTACTGTTTTACTCGGGAGACTTCGCTGAACACAAATATTAGTGATTCAAAACAGTAAAACATATCACAGCGATGATATTGTCAGTGAAAGTTACTTTTTTTGCATTTTTCACACACAAACAGCAGTTTTACTGATGATATAATTGTTGTGATACGTTTTCCAGTTTTTAAACACTAATATTTGTGTTCAGTGATGTCTCCCGAGTAAAACAGTACCCCCCATGTACAGGTTTTATAGCATTTTTGAAAGTTACAAGGTCAAATATATGGGTCAAATATTTTTACATTGAAAATGGCCAGGTTGGTTACGTTGCCTTTGAGAGCGTATGGTAGCCCAGGAATGAGAATTACCCCCATGATGGCATACCATTTGCAAAAGAAGACAACCCAAGGTATTGCAAATGGGGTATGTCCAGTCTTTTTTAGTAACCACTTGGTCACAAACACTGGCCAAAATTAGCGTTCAATTTAGTTTTTTTACTTTTTTCACACACAAACAAATATGAATGCTTACTTTGGCCAGTGTTTTCGACTAAGTGGCTACTAAAAAAGACTGGACATACCCCATATTGAATACCCTGGGTTGTCTACTTTAAAAAAAATATGTACATGTGGGGTGTTATTCAGAGATTTATGACAGATAATAGTGTTACAATGTCACTATTGATAAATTTTTAAAATGTATGTTTTGAAACTGCAATATCCTACTTGTACCTATAGCCCTATAACATGCAAAAAAAAGCAAAAAAGCACGTAAACACTGGGTATTTTTAAACTCAGGACAAAATTTGGAATCTATTTAGCAGTTTTTTTCATTCGCTTTTGTAGATGAGTAAAAGATTTTTCAAGTAAAAGTAAAAAAACATGTATTTTTTCAATTTTTCATCATATTTTTTTATTTTTTTTAAATTAAAATACATGAGATTATATAAATAATGGTATGTAAAGAAAGCCCCTTTTGTCCTGAAAAAACAATATATAATTTGTATGGGAACAGTAAATGAGAAAGCGGAAAATTACAGCCAAACACAAACACCACAAAAGTGTAAAAATATGCCTGGTCGCAAATGTACAACATCGCAAAAACAGTCCAGTCCTTAAGGGGTTAAGATTTAATTTAGTTTTAAACACTTTTGTTGTTTTGGTTCGATGGGAAGTGATAAGCATTAAAGGGGCACTGTCATGCCGAACTTACCTTTCTCTAACCACTTCCTCTCTCAGGATCTGCTCTTCATTTCTTCCTGTCTGCTCTAGTGTTCTTTAAAACATAAGACAAAGTAGGGACTATTTTGTCATACGTATATTTCCTACGCCTGACCAGCTATGACAGAGGAGCAAACTGTGCTCCATTTCCTGTGGTCAGACAAATTTTCCCACAATTCTCACCTTTCCTCTGTGATCTCACGATGACTCCTTTCACTATTCCCGAACGTCCTGTCATTTAGACAGAACGTCGGCAAAACTACAGAATGTTGTCCTAACAGAAGGAGAACAGATTGTTCAAATTCCAAAGAACTTTCCCACGTGGTGTAAAATGACTCAGAGCACTCTGATTGGTTGGATTGCAAGCCAACCAATAAGAGTGCTCTGATAGGTAAATTTGAGCCTTACCTGATAACGTGCAAGGTTCAAATTAAGAGCACTCCTATTGGTTGGCTTAAACTAACCAATTAGAGCGCTCTGAGTCAAATTGCAGGGCGTGGGAAGGCTTTATAAGCTCAGTCTGCATGTTGCCCTCCCTGGGTGAAGATGGATTTTTTTTTTTTGGTGTCAGGTTTTTTAATTAATTTTTTTGAGGTTCGACGGGTATTATGGGTTTTTATTTTGGCTTTTTTTAGGGCTGAAAAAATAAGGTTTTAAAAAAAAGACAACATCAAATGGTAAGTTATTTTTTATTTATTTACAGGTATTTAGTTTTATTGTCTCCCCCCTCATTATTTTTAGGGTGAGAGAAGTAGGTAGGGCTTTAATTTTATTTGGGTGTGGAGGTGACTAGGAGTTTGGGTCCCCTTCATTGTCTTTTAGAGCCCCCACCCGTCGTTCATAGATGGGAGAACAATAGGTCCCCCCCTTTGTCATTTAGGGCCCACACCTGCCACTCATGGGTGGGAGGACAATAGGTCCTCCCCCCTTTTTCATTTAGGGCCCCCACCCGCCAATAGGTCATACCCCCATTGTCTTTTAGAGCCCCCACCCGTTGCTCATAGGGGAAGGCAAAAATCCCCCCCATTTTAATTTAGGGCCCCCACCCGCCGCTCATGGGTGGGGGCCAAGGGGGACCCTAGGTCCCCCGTTAAGTTGCATAGCCCCTATTCGCGAGGCATGGGTGAGTGCTGGGGGGGACACTATGTCCCCCCTGCTACTTAATAGATGCCCCACCATGGGGCCATTTGCCACAGGCTGCACACTGTTTAGTAGACATTCGGGAGATTTCATCTTGACTCCCATAGAGTGAGGGAGGATATGGGGGGCTTAGGAGGTGGCGGTAAGCAGAACCGATGGTGTTTGTTTGTTCGTCTGAAATTTCTATTCATTAGTCTTTCTGATGAATTAATGAATATAAAAAATTCCCGTCTGATTTTCAGAAAAATAACGAATGCCCAAGTGTATAACTGGGCATGCGCGGGAATTTCACAGCGCTATCTAGTGTGGGCAGATGACGTGTCCCCCAGGGACTTCATCTGCCCACACAAAGATGGCGGCGCCCGGGACCTAGGTCCGGGCACAAAATGAAGATTAAAAAATAGGCAATATGGAGGTCTTAGGGGCATTTGTGGGTGACTAGGGGGGCAATTTGATGTAGTGGAGTCGGGAGGGGGGTTAAAAAACAAAAAAACAAAACTGGATTTGGCCACGACAGTGCCGCTTTAAAGTCGCAAGTACAACAGTATAAGCCAGACTTTGCACAGTGAAAAAGGTACTGTGTGCAAAAAGATGTAGGGAAGCAGCTCCTTTAGAGTGTCCTTAAATCCATGTAGTGCTCATGTAGTATGAATGGAAAAAAAGATAGAAACTGAATTTATTGTAGTATCTTTGGAGACTGTTGAATAAAATAAACGGAGTACCACTTACAATAGAAAAAAAAGGAAAAAAAAAAAAAAAACGTTAGCTGCGCACTAGCCCAAATCCCTATGCATATTTAACCCATTAGTGACCAGACAGTTTTTAAATTTTCTTACCGTTAAGGACCAGGGCTGTTTTTACATTTATGCTGTGTTTGTGTTTAGTTTTAAATACTATATTACTCATTTACTGTACCCACACATATTATATATACAGTTTTTCTCCCCATTAACCCCGTCCCGACCGAAGACGGAGAATTTCCGTCAAGCTTGTCCGTACGTTAAGGACCGTTGACGGAAAATCTCTGTCATTTACTAACGTTAACGCCAGATCGCTGCGATCGCGGGGTTAACGCTGCTGCTGGGATGTCAGAGGCAGACCAACAACCGCCAATAGAGCTGTCCCAGCACATGTGATTGCTGTACAGCCAGTCACAGCGATAACAGTGCTGCTGGATTCCTGATCCTCCTCCCTCCCTCTGTGTGGTTTGAGAAGTGGAGAGAGACGATCGGTGCTGCAACATGTCATTCAGTAAGTAATACTTTTAAAACAGTGTTAACCCTTTCCTTGCCCTTTTGATCACTGCCTGCAGTGATCAGTATACTGATCACAGTATTTAACTGTGATCTAATTTTTTTTTGTACCCTCAAGGGTTAATTTTGATTTTTTTTTAACCCTTAGGGGTTAATTTTATTTAATTTGTTATTTAATTAATTTAACGTTAATTCCTTAGTTAGCTGGAGTGGGTGGACTTTAGTGGGAATTTGGGAAATTGAGTGTTAGGCTAGTTGGCTAGATAGAGATGAAAAGTTTAGAAAAGTTCTGAAAAGTTTTTAAAAGTTTAAAAAAAAACTATAAAAAAAGGAAAAAAAGAATAAAAAAAGAAAAAAAAAGGATGAAAAAAGTTTAAATTAAAAAAAAAAAAAAAGAGTTTAAAAAAAAGTTTGTTATAGTTACACCTTCATAATGTCTAGAAGGTACACTGCTGAGGAAGCTTATGATATACTAGCAGCCGACTCTGACGCCACAGACACTGCCTCTGAGAGTGGTGATGAGACTGTGCCAGATACTGCAGGGTCCTCTGTTGTAAGCGCCGAGTCCCCTGAGCTGGCTCATGACGCTGGTGACTGGGAACCCCTAAATGATTTCACGCCTGACATCCCAGTGTTTACTGGTAGTCCTGGAATTCAGTTGGACATCACTAACTACAGTGCACTGGATTTCATGCAGCTATTCCTGGGGGATGATATTTTAGGGGATATAGTCACCCAGACCAACCTTTATGCTGTGCAGTACCTGACTTAATGATCAGAGTCTCATCGCCAGGCAAGGGAGTTGGTACCCCACCAGTGTGCCAGAATTAAAAAAATTTTGGGCACTAAAAATGCTAATGGGCATTATTAAAAAACCCAGTATCAGGATGTACTGTTCCAAAAATCCTGTATGCAGCACCCCTATTTACTCCCAGACCATGAACAGGTCCAGATATGAAGCAATGCTTCGCTTTTTACACTTCAGCAACAATTCAAAGTGCCCCACGAGAGATAATCCTCAATACGATAATCTCTGTAAGATTCGCCCCCTTATTTCCCACTTCAACAGACAGTTTGGCTCAAAAAAATATTTGTGTAGATGAGTCTCTAATGAAATTCAAGGGCAGACTGGGGTTTAAACAATATATCCCGGCCAAAAGATCCCGGTATGGGATAAAGTTGTATAAACTTTGTGAAAGTGCCAGTGGTTATGTTTACACCTTCCGTATTTACGAAGGTAAAGACAGCCACTTGGATTCCCCAGGTTGCCCGGATATCATTGGGACGAGTGGAAAAATCGTATGGGATTTAATTAACCCATTGCTAAATAAGGGGTATCATTTATTTATAGACAATTATTACTATAATAGCATCCCTCTTCTTAGGATGCTTTATTGCTTTGAAACTGTGGCCTGCGGCACAATCCGAAAGACACGATTTCCCAAAAGCCCTGGCACAAAAAAAGCTCAAGAGGGGGACTCTCTGCCAGGACGAACTGCTGGCTCTCAAATTCAAAGATAAGAAGAAGGTGTTCATGCTAACATTTATGCATACTGAGCACACTCGAAGAGTCGCAGTTCGTGGCAGACAAGAAATTAGACGGGTGCCTGTCTGCATTAGGCAGTATAACAAGCACATGGAGGGAGTTGACCTGTCTGACCAACTGCTGCAACCCTATTTAATACTGAGGAAGACCAGGGCATGGTACAATAAGGTTGGCATTTACCTTATGCAAATGGCGACTCACAATGTCTTTATTCTGTACAAAAAGGCAAATGCTGACATTAAATCATTTTTGGGCTGCTCACTGAGTGCCACAGTGGGGAACCATCAGCAGGGCCTAGCAGCAGAAGGGTTGAGACAGGTCACTTCTGTTTCTGGATACCACCAACCCCCAAAAAGAAGACACCCCCGAAAAGGTGCAGGTTGTGCTACCAGAGGGGCATAAGGACGGAAACCATCTTTTATTGCCCTGATTGCCCCTCTCAGCCCGGCCTTTGTATCGGAACAAAGCACTGTTCTCGCTAAATTGGCGGAGGTTAGATCATTCCTTGCTGGGGAAATAGCCAAGTCGACAGCCGTACTGCAGGCCGACATAAGTGCCCTGGGAGAGCGCACGGCTAAACTTGAAGACCACATGGAAGCGACAACTCAGGCCCATAACGAGGTAGCCGATAGAGTAAATCACATGACAGTGCATATGGTCGACATGGATTTGGCCCTAGAAGATATGGCCAATCGTTCTCGGAGAAATAATCTCCGCGTGAGAGGCTTGCCGGAAGGGTCGGAGGAAGACCTGCAGGGGCTCTTGTTGTCAGTTTTTAGGCCGTTACTACCACACATTCCAGAAGAACAGTGGCATATGGAGAGAGCTCACAAGGCGATGAAAATACAAAGGGCCGAAGCCAACGCCCCGAGAGATATTATAATAAAATTCCTCTACTACAAAACAAAAGAGGCCTTGATGAAGAAGAGCCGTGATGGGCCGATCCGGCACGCAGGAGCTACTATCTCGTTCTTCCAAGATCTGGCTCCCTCGACCTTACAGCGGAGGAGAGATTGGCGGCCCATAACTGGGGCTCTGCGAGGGGCAGGCCTGAAGTATGCCTGGGGCTTCCCTTTCAAATTAATGGTGTTCCGCGAAGTGAGAGCTCACGTCCTGTCACCAGGAGGAGACCCAAAGTGCTTGTTCCAGGGCTTGCGAATCCAGCCTCCCCCAGACCTACCTGACCTGACGATGTGTCCGGCGGAGCTTCCTCAACTTCAGACGGAGTGGCGCAGAGTAGGGCCCAGAAGCCAGCGCTAACTGCTAGCGGTATCGTATTCATCGTTTTTTGGGTTTCTAATTTTTATTTTTGTTTTCATCTCTCCCTTCAACCTAGTCTCCCTTTATTTTTGGTGATCGGGACTTTTTTCCTCCTTTTTTTTGTTGGGCGGGGGGCTCGGGTGCGGGGCCTCAGCAGCACATGAGGCGCTTGGGGTAGACCATCGTCTTTGCCTCTCGCTCTATTCTGGCCGACCCGGGGATCCCTGACTCGCTCAGTGGGTTTGTAAATGCCCGACTGCATCCGTTATGCTAGAAGAGCGTTATTGTATTGTTTGGGTGGGGATGAGATGGTAATGGGTCAGCCCCTGGTCTCCCCCGTTTTTCTTGTTGTCCCCCCCATTTTGCCCATCTCGCCCTTTGTTGGGATGCTCGTCGTTCACCTGGCCCTCTGTTGGGGCCATTGGGGCACTTCTGAAAGCCGATCCTTTTTCCTCACGGACGGAGGGGCAGACTTGGACCACAGTAACGCCCCTTGGAAATGGGACACGGACACCTCTTCCCTTCTGTTTTCGGGTGAGGACAGCGGAGAGGGACTAACTAGGGGTCATAGACACCCCAGGACAGTTTCGGTGTATTATACGAATGTCCCGCTGGTGTGACTATTGGAGCTGAGCATTGTTAAGTGGAGGGCACAAGGCCCCCCCCCCCCTCCTTTCTTTTCCTGCCTAAGTTTAAATAGTATAGGAAAACATAGAAATTAATTTACAAAAAAAATAAATAAAAAAAATAAAAAAAAAATAAAATACAAATAAAAAAGTGAGGAAAAGAGTGCGAGGGAAGGAAGGCAGGATCGAAAGTTGTTCATTATTTTTTACATACAATTATACGATAAATACTAGAGAAAGTGATTGGAATCTGACAATGCAAAATCTCCACGTGTCATTTCTATAGGACAGGTTAGTCCTAAAATTGCTAAATCAATAGGCCTTCCCAGAGTAAAGGTGTCTGTAGACAAGTATCTTACCTAACTTCGCTAGTTAAAACCCCCCATATTGGCACCCTTAACAATGGTGGCAAACCCCTTGAAATTTCAGTACCATGTGGCTTCCCTGAGCAAACAGTTAGGGGGGTACAGGCCGGGAGTTTAATACTAAATGCTCTTCGGCACAATAGGTTGTTTTCCTGTGCGGCTGCTTGCCCCCTTTGGCAGGACCTATGACTTTCTTGTAGGAGGTCGGCCACGGGGGGCGACTATCCGGACGGGGGAACAATAATTCGGACAGTTGGGTAGTTGGATCTATCTTAATAGGAGGGTATGCCGTAGGCAATAGCGCATACTATAGTTTTATGTGTTCTCCCAATGTATACATGTTCCCTATGGTTCTTGATGTGGACAATTGAGCTGAGACAAGTGATAACAAATACGCATGTATACTCCTCCAAGATATGGCACCTGACTGACAGTAGAAGATCAGGAATAGCAGGTGGACGGAGGTAGTTGGCTCCTGGCGGGTTTTTTGGAGTGGTGTGGCAGGGGAGGGGGAGAGGGGGATGCGACGATGGAGATGGGAGAACACAGGGCGTTATGCGACACGTACTGAGCGCATTGAGTTGTACTGCCTGCAATACTATTGTTTGAGTGATTGATGCATATTGTACCGTGTCTCATGATGGTTAAGGGTGAGGCAGGGTGGGGAGGCACAGGGAGGGGGCGACCTCAGTGACACAGAGTAACAGGGAACAGGCAGGCAGTTTTTTTCCCAATGGGCTCCTAACGGGCAGGGTCTCGTATTGTGACCCCCGTCTTGTCAAGGCTTTTGCTCACACTATGGTTGAATGGGTGATCCTCTTCGCCCCTCGTATCTATGGTATTAGCCACGGTTACTGGCGTTAAGATGGAAATAGCTATGAATATTTCTGGATACTCCCCCAATCTCTGACACCCAACCAACAAAGGGCAGTTATGAACGATTTATTGAAGGGGATGAGTGGCATTTTAAGGGCATGGGGGTGGGGGGGGGGGATGTGTGGATGTAAGGTAGACAAAACAAAACTCCCCCACCCCAAAAAAAAAAAAGCGAAAAAGAAAAAAAGGATCCAATACGTTATGTGATCCATACCGCTCGCAATGAATCTAATAGCCCGTATTGATATAAGTTAATGGTTTATTTATTGTACAGTATTTTCTTTGTCTCAATGGCATGGCAGCGGGGAGGAGGTGAATGCACGAGGGGTGGTGACCCTGGTAGCACAGGGTACTGAACCCAGACAGTCTCAGTTTCTACTGGGCCCAAGCAGGGCGGAGACTTGGTTAGGGTTCCCCAGACAGCACCAGAACTAATGTGGGGAGGGGAAAGGGCACCAAAATAGATAAGGCGGCTACTTTAGCGGTTCACATAGAGGTCCAAGCAAATAATAAGTGGCGCCTGTGTGGAGGAGCTCAGGGTCCCATTGTTCCTCCCAACGTTGATCGTGGCGGGAATGTGGGATGATGTCCCCCACAATAATCTGGCAATCAGTAAGACCAGATCTTCAGTACATCGGACTGAGTCCAGATGTTGTTCTTATTCTCTACTTTTTCTTCTTTCTACCCTTCCTTTCCTACTCTTTACCTTTCTTCTGGGGGGTGGTGGATGCGGGGGGCTAGCAGCGGTTCTCTTTCAGAGTCCTACCAGGGAGCAGGATGTGACTAAGGTCATGAGAAACAAATATAGAATCATAAACGCTCCGCCCGATGGAGATTAAGATCATTTCCCTGAATGCTAAGGGCCTTAACACCCCAAAGAAGCGTCGGCTCCTGTTCAAAGAATTCAAGAGAATGAAAGCGGACATTGCGTTTGTCCAAGAAACCCACTTACCTAAACAGGCCAAGTTCAGGTTGAGAGACCACACGTATGTCGGTTCATACGAGGCCAGGTCCCACTGCAAACGTAACGGGGTGGTGATACTTACTAGAGGTAGTTGCCCCTTCCGCGAAACATATCACGAAGAGGACCCGGACGGCCGTTTTGTTGTTGTTTCGGGCATCTTACACTCTCATTCCATCCATCTGATTAACATCTATGCACCGAATCAGCCGGACCCAAAGTTTTGGGGTGGGCTTCGAGAGAAAATCTCAGGGCTCCCCAACGGAATGATACTTTTAGGTGGCGATTTTAACGCAGTCCCGTGCCCAGCGGTAGATAGGAGCTCACGGAGGGGAACTCCTAGATCACAGGGTAGGGGCGGCCAGGACCGTCTACTTAAAGACTTCATGGCCGAAACCGGAATGGTGGATATATGGCGAGCTCACCATCCAGGGGATAAGGACTACTCTTTCTACTCAGCTCCCCACGGAACGTATTCAAGGATAGATCTCTTCTTGACTAACGCTGCGGGAATGTCCCGAACAGTAGGGTCGCAGGTGGGCAATATATCTTGGTCGGACCACGCGGATATTTCCATCACATTGGGCAATCTATGCGTTGCCTCACCATGGACTTGGAAATTGAACACGTCACTGCTTCGTGACCCGGAAATACTGGAGCAAACTAGGAAGGGAATCGTAGATTACTTTGAGATCAACACCACTCCCGAAGTGAACGCAAGTACGATCTGGGCGGCCCACAAAGTGGTCATTAGGGGGACCTTAATTAAACTGGCCACCAGGAGAAAGAAAATGAAGCACCAGAAACTGGAAACTTTACTGGGACAACTGAGATCCCTAGAACAAAAACACCAAACTGCGCCTACAGAGGGCACTCTCAGGCAACTGGAAGCAACCAGACGTGAAGTCCGAACTCTTCTATTGGACGATACGGCTAGATCCATGACCTGGTCAAAAAGGACCTTTTTCGAAAAGGCAAACAAGATGGACACTCTGAAAATATTCAGAGAAGAACTAACGCCTCAATTGGCCCGTCTTTTTGATAACCTACGGCAGGGCGGACAATTAGACCATGACATGTCCCTGGCGACCATAGTACTATTGCCCAAACCTGGAAAGGATCCACTATACCCCGAGAACTACAGACCCATCTCACTGATCAACCATGATCTGAAGATCTTGGCGAAAATTCAAGCAGACAGACTAAACCCGCTATTACACTCTCTTATTCACGCAGACCAGGTAGGTTTTATCCAAGGTCGGCAATTGTTCGAAAATACTAGAAGGAATATCGACTTGATTTGGAAACAAGTGGCTTCGGAGACCCCTATGTTAGTGGTATCCATAGATGCAGAAAAGGCCTTCGATAGGGTCCGGTGGGAATTTCTATTTCCAGTCTTGAAGAATTTGGCCTTCCCAGACGAATTCTTAACAATAACAAGAGCAATGTACCACAACGTGCAGGCACAGGTGCAGATATCGGGAGCTCCGCTACACCCTTTCAAACTGTACAACGGAACCAGACAGAGTTGCCCACTGTCTCCCCTTCTTTTTGTACTAGCGCTTGAGCCCTTGCTTCATGCGATACACCGGCATCCGAACATAGCAGGTGTTCGGGTGGGAGACAAAGAGTTTAAGGTGAGTTTGAGTGTGTGCTGCACTGGTTGATTATATATGATATCCTATATATTGTAATCACTTTTAGCGCCATTTTTTATCTCTGTTTTTTACTTAAAGAGTTTAAGGTGTCGGCCTATGCGGACGATGTCCTATTGACCATTACAACCCCTCATGAATCAATGGCGGTGATAAAGGATGTGATAACAGAATTCGGCACGGTATCAGGATATAAAGCGAACATTCAGAAGTCCAGCGCCCTCCCGATCTGCCTAACGCAAGATGACACAGCTAGATTACAGGAGACCTACCAAATTAGAATGGAAACAGATTTTCTGAAGTACTTAGGAATTCATTTGACAGCGGACCCCGGACGTCTATACCCGGCTAACTACGCCCCGATGCTCAGGGAGCTGATGGGAGACCTAGACAAGTGGACAGAAAAACCCATTTCCTGGATAGGCAGGATAAATTCGGTAAAAATGAACATCCTCCCACGTATATTATTTCTCTTTCAGGCGCTACCCATCAGGGTCACAAAGATGCAACTAATCCCCCTGCAAAGATCTATAGGAGACTTTATTTGGCAGAATAAGAGACATAGAATCTCCAAACAGATATTATAAAGACGAAAGGATAGAGGGGGCCTAGGCCTCCCGAATCTCTATTTCTACTATTTAGCGGCCCAACTGATGCAGATAGCCATGTGGCACTCCACACCAGATGAGAGAAGTTGGGTAGAAATTGAGTCTATGATGGTGGGTGTTTACGTACCCCAGTTTACGATATGGGTTCCAAAGGACCACAGACCGGCGATACGGATGACATGCCCGGCGATCCTAAACTCGATTCGAATTTGGGACACATGTAACATCAAATATGGGCTGGCGTCATCCCCCTCCCCCTTGACCCGATCCTTAGAAACAGAGAATTCTCTCCTGGCATGGCCCCCAGAGATTTTCGCAATATAGAAAGAACGGGACTACAACGGCTACATCAGCTCTATCAAAACGGGGAGTTTATAAAATTTTCAGATATTCAATCAGGAAACCACCTAACCCCAGCAGACTTCTTTAGGTACGTTCAAATTCGGGATTTCGCGAAAAAACAACACATTAAAACAGCAGCATTGGGGAAACCCACCTTCTACGAGAGATTATGTTCCGACGGAGTAGCCCCCAAGGGGATGATCACTCTACTATATGCACACCTTAGTGAAGAAAATGGAGAATGGGGAAGATTGTCCTACACGGACCAATGGGAGACCGACATCGGGGAGGTCCTGGAGGGGGTCGAATGGCAGGAGATATGGGAGGAGAATGCTACAGTCTCAATATGTGTCACCCTTCAGGAGCAGGCTTGGAAAACTATGTTTAGGTGGTACACTACTCCAATCAAACTACATAGAATGCACAAACTGGAGACTGACGATTGCTGGAGGGGTTGCGGAGCCCGAGGATCATACATCCACATGTGGTGGGAATGCCCGAAGTTGCGGGGATTTTGGAGATCCGTCGAGGATCTGGTAAGACAGACGTTCGACAGGCCCGTAAAATTGGATCCGTGGATATACTTGCTGAATAGATCTGTGGACGGGTGGACCAAAAGGGAACAGAAACTAGTACACAAGATTACTTTGTGTGCACGCCGAGCGATTGCGACAGCGTGGCTCACACCTGAGGGCCCAGAATTCACAGGGGTTATCTCCAGAATCAAAGAGTGTAGAATCATGGACGATCTAACGGCAAGGGTGAGAGGGACCATCACGACATTCCAAAAAACGTGGGAACCATGGGACAATAGCATAGTGGGCTCGAATGGAGATTGAGAGCCTCACACATATGGGAATGAACCCAAGATCTACACATCCTTGCTGAAGGTGAATTAATTGTCAACGACGTGGCTGCACTCCCCCCCCCACTCTCCCCTCACCCCTCCTCCCCCTTTTCTATTTCTCTGGTTTTTCTTGCCCCATCTTTTTTCTCTTCTTCTATCTCTCTTCCTTTCTCTTTGTTTTTTGTTTTCTTTTTTTTTAGGCAAGATCACACGGTCGGAGGAATAATGTAGCTTAAGTACTAGAATGATAAGTGAACATAAAGGCTACTTGAACTACTTAACTTTGTTTAAAACATAAATTACCCCAATAGACTGTGGGCCCCAAGGGTTTATAGTAAAGAGCGCATGCGAGGATAAGATTGCATAGTATTTCCTTATAAAGCTATGTAGTTCCTTCGGCTTCATCGTAATCCTAAGAGTGTATATACACCTGTTCTGTTTAGGGTGAAAATTAAAACTTCCAAAAAGGGAACATAAAGAATTTAACAGAAAAAGGAAGTGTATGAAAACGTAAAACCCTCAGTAGACGACAGATACCAATGGTTTTTCTTTTTAAGGAATGGGCTTATGTTGTATCTGTCGCACTGCAATATGTTTCACATTTTTTTATTCAAGTAGGCTTCTGCGTAAGCCCAAAAGTTTATGTAAACCCGCTGTGTCTATTGAGCACAATCAAAGGATTAACAAAACAAACAAACAAAAAAAATCCCTTGGCAGGTAGCCAAATAAGCATATCACTACTTTTATCGCTGGTTTTGTACTGCATTAGCATCTGTATAACTACAATTGAATATGTTTGAGATTTATTGGGCTTTTGCATAAGACATAATGTCAATGTTACCTGGCTACTTTTGTCAAGATGAAAAAAAAAAAAAAAAAAAAAAAAAAAGACATTCAATGGGGGTGTCATTTTACCAGAAGACTTAGATGAGCATAATTTTAGGGCTTTGATCATGGTGGTACATGTCAAATATATAAAATGTCCAGCAAAAAAGTAATGCGGATGTAAAAAATGCCCCAAAGTCTTTTTTTTACCACAAACTTTGACAAACATTGGTGAAGAAATGGGGGCATGTTAAGGCACAATATGCACCATATGAGATACCCAGGAGTGTCTACTTTTACAAATGGTAGGCCTTTGTGGGGTTTTTTCCAACAGTCAAACTGCTATAGTGGCCCAAATTAAAACATAGGCCCATCAAATCTGTCTCTCGAAATTCTACTGTAAATACTGAAATGGACAGGATTCCTATATGGTGCTGTAGCTTCACGAAATAGTGCCAAAGACATACAATGGGGGTGTCATTTTACTCAGAAGACTTAGCTGAGCATAATTCCGGGGCTTTGATCATAGTGACACATATCAAATATACAAAATGCCCAGCAAAAAGTAATGCAGTTGTAAAAAATGCCCAAAATTATGTTTTACCACAAACTTTGACATACATTGGTAAAAAAATGGGGGCATGTTAAGGCACAATATGCACCATATGAGATACCCTGGAGTGTCTACTTTTACAAATGGTAGGCCTTTGTGGGGGGTTTTCCAACAGTCAAACTGCTATAGTGGCCAAATTGAAACATAGGCCCATCAAATCCGTCTCTCAAAATGCTACTGTATATACCGAAATGGACAGGTCTCTTATATGGCGCTATAGCTTCACGAAAAAGTGCCAAAGACATACAATGGGGGTATCGTTGTACTCAGCAGATGTAGCTGAACACAAAATTAGGTTTTGTACAGGAATAGCACACACTAACTTTACGAAATACACAAGAGAAGTTCTTTGTTATAATTTTGTGTGTGTGTTAAATAGCCTGTGATGTTTTCTTTATATAAATATATACTTTTGTGTGGCAATTTTGTTTTCTTTTATGGCTATTAAGCTTACAAGACAAACATACCAAATTCTAAAATCACTCCACATTAAAAGTTTATTTTACTCCTTGTGTTTTGTGAGCTGTAACTACCAAAAAAAACAGAAAACCCCAGACACATTATATATTCTGTAAATCAGAACAACTAAATTAATTTATTTTTAATTACTTTCCTTAACCTGCACAAATTATGCACACATTATTATTGCAAAAACTGAAGAAAAAACCCAATATTTTTACATTTTTGGGCATTTTTTTGTATTTTTTTATAATAAATAAGCATTTATATATGTATATGTTACATCAATTTAAAGCTCTTTTTGTCCTTTAAAAAACGGTATATAATATGTGTCGGTGCAATAAAATAGTAAAATGCAAATTGCAGTTGAACGCAAACAGCAAAAAAAATTTGAAAATGTTGTGTCCTTAAGTGCTAGACACGCTTTTGAAGCTGTGTCCTTAAGGGGTTAAATGATCCTTCTAAAGATACCATTATTTTCATCAAATTATAAAATATGTTGACATTTAAAAAAAAAAAAAAACACCTTTTCTAACTTTGACACTCAAAATCTGTTACGCATCTACAACCGCCAAAGAACACACATGGTAAAAAGTTTCTAAGTTTTGTCATGGGTTTAGAAATATCCAATTTTAACATGTTCTTTTTTTGCAACTCACAGGACTATGAATAAATCAAGAGCACCAAATTTAAATCAATATTAACTAAGAATTTTACCAAAGAAATAAAAAATGTACCCCCTTTATCCCACTTTCCGCAAATCAAAGGTTTTTGTAAATGCAAAATATGTATAGTTTGCAGAGCTACTGATCCCGCTATACCTCATAAAGTAACTCAATTTATTTCAAAAATGACAAATAAGGTTTATAAAATTAATGACTTTATTAATTGTACAACGAAAAATGTTATTTATCTGCTTGAATGCCCCTGTGGCCTCCAGTATGTTGGAATGATTACAAGGTGCTTAAAAACACGATTAAGCGAACATTGTAGAAACATTAAAAATGGATACTTAAATCACTCAGTATCCAAACATTTTATTAAACATAAGGACTCAAGAATGCTTAAATGTATTGGAATAAAAAAATTTACCATTCCATGGAGGGGCAGAAATATTAAAAACATTTTAGGTAAAACTGAAATGGAATGGGTGTATAAACTCCAGACTCTTATACCCCATGGTTTGAATGCTGATTTTGATTTGTTCAATTTTTTATAAATATTTATTATCATTTTTTTATTTAAATTTTAATAGTATTCATGTTCTTATATTGTTCATATTCAATACTTATTATATGGTATTATTATGTTACTGATTGTCATAATTATATGATGGGCTATGCGCTTTTTTAAACTGTTTTTATTATCATCCCTCCCCTAGCAGTAATAATAGGTAACTCATTCATCCCTATATATGGCACCATGCCTGACTACACTTTTCAGTGTGTCAGGCACACTCCCATATTCTAACGTCGGCCGCAATTCTGTGCGTGCCAACGTTTTATATTCTTTCCCATCAACTTGTCTATTCCCCATGACGACGGCCGCAGCTTTGTGCATGCCGTCGGCTTATAGACACACACCTACTTTTCATGACGATGGACGCAGCTTTGTGCGTGCCGTCGTCATATAGTTACACGCCATCTCTTCCTGACGTCAGCCGCAACTATATGCGTGCTGACGTTTAAACTCTGTCTACTTGCTTCGACGTCGGCGGTTGCCTAGTGGTCACTTTTTACTTGTGCCATTTATCTTTTTATACACTTTAGATTGTTTTTTACCTGGCATTTTTATCACCCTGGACTCCAAGTAATCCTAAGTGGGGATCACACCACCAGCGCTATCTTCAAAGAGCAGTTTGTCTGCTCCTTCCTTATGAGTATCATTTTATATATTTTATTTCCATTATTTTATCCAGTGAGCACTATTGGTTGTCTCTTTTTATTTGGGTGTCGAACATACCATTGACAGAGGAAGTTTACCACATATGCAGGGATTGTACCGCTATACGCCTTTGACACCAGAGCTAGCTATAGCTCTTGTACATGTGAGTTATACCAGTCTTTTATATTTTATTTGTTTTATTACTGGACTTATTTAGAGATGTAAAATTTCAAGAAATTTTGAACCTTGGAAAAAAACCATTTTTTTTTCGGGTTTTTTTTTGGAAAAAAAATGAAATTTTTGGAAAAATTGAAAAAAAATGCTACATTAGCACTTTTTTTGTCTTTTTAAGATTGAAAGTCATTCTATTACGTTAGGAACATAAAATATGACTATGGACAATTTGATTTGGCATACAATTATCACAACTAGCATATTAAAAATATAGTGTAGCCAAACAATTATCACAAATAGAATTTACTTTTTTATAATATTTATTTGTAACAAAGGGAGCAACAATCTCCTGACCTGCTTACTAGTTTATGTGGAACAGCCAAAAAGCCTCCACAAAACAATTTTCAAAACCAAAAGTAACAATTTTTCATATTTCCTCTCCACAGTATTAAATAAAAATAAAAATAAAAACCCCATTCTCATAAAAAGAATTAAAGATGGGGGAAGTGTTAAGAAGAGAGTGGGACTAAGTTTCAATGGGCATTTAATCAGAATCATTTTCTGAGCTGAAATTGTCAGTATCCGTTTCTGCTTCTGCAGCTACTCTTTTTTGTCCGTCATCACAATTAGGAACTTCTAAAAAGGTTTGCCCGGATCGAAACAAGCTTATCTACCCTTTCACATCTCAGTTTATTTCTTGACTTAGTGTGAGTGTTTCCAAACATAGGCCATATTCGTTCACATGCTGCAGAAGATGGAGGTATCTGGAGAAGGCGAGAAGCAATAGGAGTCAGAGGCTGTCTTGTGCAAAGACCTTGCCACCATGTTGCAGAAGGAATATGTTTGGCAGAATCCCAGATTGCATTCCTGGACCAAATCCCTGAAGATGTTCTATATTCTGCAACATTCGAAAGTACCTTCCCAACATCAAGTCCAAAATGTGATGCTTGTTTTGTGATCCAGTCAAATGCAGTAGCAGTGTCATCATCACTTATGTTTGCACCTTTGAATCTTGGATCCAACAGACTACATGAATTGGATGACAACAAAATTATTCCCTTTTTTAAATAGAATCTTTCATTTTACTTTCTTCTATAGTCGTAAGTGGAGGTAAACTGAGATTTTCGAAAACAGTTGTTTTTATCTTGGTCATTAGATAAGGGATTTCTGAGAAAAGTGCACTATCTGATTCAGATGCAGTGATTGCTGCAGCAATTGGCTTTAGAATCTTCAGGGAATTTTACAGCTTAACCCAGAAGACATCCTGATCAAGAAAAGTGTTTCTTACACTCCTGGGTACTATAAGATCTTCAACTATTACTGTTTCTTGAAGAGCGCCTTTGTTTTTTAGTAAACTTTCAAAGGAGATCACTATGCTATTGTAATTATGCTATTCTTTGCATTTGCTATTCTTTGCATTTGTTTTCGACTTGTTTCTTCTTGAAAACTGCAGATACAATATGAGTACCTTTTACATGTTTAATAACTTATTTTGCTCATCTATAGACCATTTGAAGGGTGTCCACCTCCATAATATCATTAAAAAGCAAGTTTAGCCCATGGGCTGCACATCCTATTGCAGTAATATGTGGATACTTCTCCATTATGATTTCCCATGCTGCTTTCATATTGCTGGCATTGTCAGTAAGCAAAGCAAATACTTTACCACACCCAGTTTTCTGTAGGACATGACAGATATTACAGCTGATATACTCTGCAGTACGTCTGTTCTCTCCTGTTTCAATGCTTTTGTAAAAAACTGGCTGAGGTGTTGTTATAACAAAATTTATAATTCCTTCTCCTCTCACATTTGTCCATCCATCTGTAAGTAGTGCAAGACACAGTGCTTCATTAATTTTTCCTTGCACTGATTCCATTACACATTCATATTCTGACTCCAATAGAGGCTTGCTCAAAGAATGTCTGCTGGTCAATTGGTATGATGGTCTTAATAATTTCAAAGCTCCCTGCCAGTATGTATTTTCAGTTATTGAAAACGGCGTTCCAGAAGAACATATTGCTCTTGCAAGAGCTTGATCAATTTTTTGTCATCTTGTCTATAAATTAAGTTAGTGAATAATTTTTGGATGCAGCTGTCTTCAGTATCTGTTTGCTTGAAGATGCTGCTGATGGGACAACACTTTATGTTGCTGCTGACATTAAAGATGGAGTAGAAAGAGGACTTCTTGAACGAGAAAGTTGAGAAAAACTGTGTGCATTGTCCATTGTACCCGTGTGAGAAGTAGTAAGATAGCTCCTCCATTATCCTGATGTGAGTCTAATTATCTCCATTATCTCTAATGTAGGGGTTCGTAGGTAGTTTCCATTTAATGGGGATCAGGCTGTTTGCGGCTGTGAGAAGATGGTTTAGCAGCAGTCTGGTCTGTTTGGGCATAGGAGAGGGATAAAGTATGAACAACATAGACTGGGGAGACAGGGGTGGGGAGCTGTATGCCGGTGATCACGTGAATTATTTTGTAGTTTCCCCGTGGGTGTTAGTACTCAGGGATGATTTGAAGATGTTCGTGAAAATACGTGTCCATTCTCTGTCCTCTAGGGTTACCCCCAGTTCTTTCTCCCACTGTTTGGTAAAGTCTGGGAGGCAGTTATCTGGCCTGTTCTGGATAAGTTTGTAGAAGGTGGATAGATGTTTGGTTTTTAAACTATGTGTGGAGCATATTGTTTCAAATTGGGTGGGTGTTCTAGAGCCCTTTAGGAGTATGGGTTTAGCTTGGATATAGTGAGTGATTTGCCTATGACTGAACCAAAGCAATTTAGTTTGCTGGTTCCGTGGTATGAGTTCGTCGAAGGGTCTTATACCCTCGTCTGTTAATAGGTAGATAGGTAGCTTGTGTCTGGTGCTATCTTCTGGAATGCTTCTGGCTTATGTCTCGGAGGGAATATCGGCTTATGTGTGAGGGGGAACAATGTGGAGGGATGTGATGCTATGTTTGGGATCTGTCTGATCTTCGACCACAGCAAGGTCGGTGTTAAAGTGGGATGTGGTGCGTGGCCCAGTGCTAGGAAGAGTTTTCCCTTCTCGTGCCACGGTATTGTGTGAATAGGGGCCGTGAATGAAGTAGCTTCCAACTGCACTCATTGTTTGGTATTGTGAGGTTGTGCCCATTCATATATTCTGGTGAGTGTGATGGCTTGGTGGTAAATTTCTAGGTCAGGCAGACCAAGGCCTCCCTGAGTTTTCTGCCTGGATAGACAAGTATACTTTAGTCTAGGGTGTTTATTAGCCCACAGGAAGGACGGGAAAAGGTGTTTGCCCTGCATGAAGAAGACAGGAGGTATCTTGATGGGTAGAGCCTGTAGTAAGTAGAGAAATTTGGGAAGCACATTCATCTTGAGAATGTTTATTCTACAGAGCCACCCAAAGTGCGGCCTGTTCCAGGCCTTGAGGTCTGTGGCAATGGATGTTAGTAATGGCGGGAAGTTCAAGTCATATGCCTGCGATAACACTTTAGGTATATGTATCCCTAGCTATTTTACTGCAGCTGGTGACCAGCTGAGGGGGCACAGTTGTGTTATGGCGTCTTTGGTGGTGCTAGAAATATTGAGTGGTAGGATCTCGTTTTTAGCGACATTGACCCTGAAGTTAGACACCTCGGCATACATGTCTATTTCTGTGACTACATGGGGGAGTGATGTGATCGTGAAAAGCAAGTCATCTGCAAAGGCAGAGACTTTGTGTTTGCGGCCCTGCGCGACAAAACCCTTAATGCCCGGGTGGTCCCTAATTCCTTGGAGAAAGGGTTCCATGGATAAAATGAAAAGGAGAAGGGACACCCCGGTCTCATGCCATTAGTAATGGGCACTGTGTCCGATTTGGCCATTGACCATGATTCTGGCTCCCAGTTTGGAGATCCATTTCATCCAGTTTGGGCCGAAACCCATGGCTTGGAGGGTTCTGGTTAGCAGAGACCAGTCCACCCTGTCAAATGCCTTCTCTTCATCAACAGTGAGGATGAGGCTCTGAGAGGCTTCCCTCCCCGATAAGGTTGAGGAGTTTAGTGGTGTTGTTTTTGGCCTGCCTCCCGGGTACAAACCCTGCCTGATCAGGGTGGACTAGGTCTCCCAGAAGTGGTCTGAGACAGGTGGCGAGGATATTTGTGAAGAACTTTGGGTCAATATTGATCAAGGATATCGGCCTGTAGCTTCCGCATTCCACGGGGTCCTTCCCTGATTTATGTATCAGAGTTATGTGGGCCTCTAAAGCTGTGTCCGGGAGAGTGCTGGATTGTGTGATTGAATTGAAGGTGTTCGTGAATGGGTCTTCAAGTAAGGAGGAGAAAATTTTATAATATTTGGCTGTGAACCTGTCTGGTCCAGGGCTTTTGCCCATCGGTAGATGTTTTACCACCAGGTGGAATTCGTCCAGTGTGAGGGGGGCGTCAAAAACCTGCCTAATGTTCGGTGGAATCGTCTGAGTGAGTCGTTTTGACAGAAAGTGGTCTATGTTGGACTGGGGGTGGTGAAGAATGTCTGAGGTTGTAAAGATTAGAGTAGAAGGCGTGAAAGGCCTGCAGTATCTCTGGCAAGAGATGGGATGTTGTCCTGGTGGATGTTTTTACCTGGGCTATGAAATTTTATTGTCTATTGTGTTGTAAAGCTTTGGCCAACATGCGCCCGCATCTCCCACCTTGGGTAAAATATGAATGTTTGGAAAGTAGTAGTTTGCGTTTTATCTGGGAAATCAGTAAAAAAAATGGAAAGTTTTTCTATGAGTTGTTTATATATGTCCAGGGAACTCATACTTTTATGTGACAGTTCTAGTTGTCTAATGTCTCACATGAGGGCTAGGACCTGGGCTTCCCTGTGTTTCTTGTGTTTGGACGCCAGTGCAATAATGTGCCCTCGTATTACTACCTTGTAGGAATACCAACGTGATTGAAGTTAGCGTTGATGAATTTTCCGAAAAGTAGTCTTGTAAGTCAGTAGATATCTGTTTTACTATGGATGGGTCATTATGGAGCATATTGTTAAGCTTCCATTGGAAGCTTTCTGGGGGGAGGGTGGATATGCGGATGGCTAGAGACAGGGGCGCATGGTCCGACCAAATTATAGGGCCATAATCACAGGACTGAATCAGGTGGAGATGCCTTTGCGGTAGGAATAGCATATCAAGCCTGGAAAAGGAGTGCAGAACTGCTGAGTAGAATGAGTAGTCCCTCGTTTGAGGGGGAGCCATCAAATTGCTGTGCGTTATCAAGCAGCTGAGTTATTCTTGATCTAGTCGAAGCTTGGTAGGTAGTGGACTGTGAGGTGGTGTCTAGTGTAGGGTCTATGGACGCATTCAGATCTCCCCGAAAAATGAGAATCCCCTCTGTGTGACATTCCACCTTGTTAAGGGATTTACAAAGGAAGATGTATTGTTTGGAGTTTGAAAGATAAAGATTGGCCAAGGTCACTACCGTGTTGCCAATCAGCTCTTTGATCACTATCAACCTGCCGTTAGAGTCTGCGTAATGGTCTATGTACAGTGAGGTCCATAAATATTGGGACATCGACGCAATTCTAATCTTTTTGGCTCTATTGGATCTTTTTGGTTTCATTTCAAACCCAACACAATGGGTTTAAAATGAAACAAACAAGATGTACTTTAACTGCAGACTTTCAGCTTTAATTTGAGGGTATTTACATCCAAATCAGGTGAACGGTGTAGGAATTACCAGACCTACCCTCGCTTTCGCTCTGTAAAGAACATTGCGAGAGACCCTATGATTTTTGTTCTGCCAAATTAATTTTCCAATAGCTTGTTGAAGTGCTCCTAAATTAGACTTAGTTAATCGGACCAGGAGAGCCTGAAAGAGGAACAGTATCCTAGGGAGAAAATGTGTTTTTACAGAGTGAATCCTACCTATCGAAGATATTGGTACAAATCATGGGTACATAGTTTTTTTTTGGAATAATTGGTCGGGATCAGCCGTCAACCTAACATCCAAATACTTAATATGATCCCGTGCTATACGTAATTGGTATGTGTGGCCTATGTAAGCTATGTCCGTCGCTATCACGCATATGGGAAGCGCGCTCGACTTAGTCAAATTCACCTTGTACCCAGCAAGTTCGCTGTAAGTGGTTTAGACAGTCGTTAGGGCCGCCATTGAGGTTTTCGGCTCAGACAGCGTCAGCGGGATATCCGGATCCGGATACCACGTACTGTTGTACCCCAACCGTAATTACCTTAATAGCCGATTTGTTGCATATCTTTTGCAGGAGGGGTTGTAGAGATAGCGCAAATAACAAGGGCGACAAAGGACATCCCTGTCTAGTACCGCTACCCAAATGAAACGGCACTATTTTCGCTCTAGAGATCCGGACCCATGCTTGCACATTAGAGTACATAGCGCAAATTGCGGTGATGAACGGACTTGGGATACCAAAATGTGCTAGCACCTCGAATAAATAAGGCCACCTGACCCTGTCAAAGGACTTCTCGCGTCTACTGACAGAATCAAGGTAGGAGTCCCCCCTAGTGGCCTGTCTCCAGATAAGATTGATATTACGTAGAGTGTTTTCAAACAATTGTCTACCAGGCACAAAACCTACCTGATTCGGGTAAATCAATCGTGTTAGAAGAGGGTTTAATCTGTTAGCGAGTCTTTTCGCCAAGATCTTGGAGTCATGGTTAATTAGAGATATCGGACGGAAGTTTTCCGGGGCTGAGTCGTCCTTACCAGGTTTCGGCAATAGGAATATGTCTACCAATAACATATCTCTATCTCGTGTGCCACCGTGCATGAGCCATGCCTCCAAATGAGGAGTAAGTTCCTCGCGGAAAGTCTTATAATAGCTACCTTCAAAGCCATCAAGGCTCGGGTCTTTGTTGCCTTTCAATGAGGTTATAGCCGCATCGATCTCTTCTGTCAAGAACCTTTTTCGTAGGTTATCTTAATCAGTCCCCAACAATCTAGGGAGGGACAGTTGGGATAGAAAAGTACGGATGTTATTCAATTCACTGGGTAAGATGTTAGCGTCTCCACATGAGTGACTATATAGTTTGGTGTAATAATCCATGAAAACTTGAGCGATATTGGTGGTATCTGTTTGGTATCTACCAGATGGATCTTTAATCTTCGTGATGTGGGTGCTCCTCTGTCACGGGTGGAGCGATCTGGCCAAGAGCGTATCCATTTTGTTGGATTTTTCATAATAGGTTCTCTTGGACCATACGATAGCTCTGGCCGTTTCATCGAGGAGCGTTTCGCAGACTGATGCCCGCAGGCCCCGCACCTCCGTTAGTGTACGAGCAGATGCATCGGTCTTTTGTTTTTGTTCTGCTTTCCTCAGCGACTCTAAGAGAGATGACAATAATTTCACCTTACATTTTTTTCTTCAAGGTGGCTTCATGAATCCCGAATCACCGCTTTGTGAGCCGCCCACACTGTGGCCGGTGCTAGGCTGGTCTCGGTATTCCTATTGAAATAATCCATTAATTCTTTCCAAGTGGTCTCCACAACCGCTACATCCTGGAGTAAGGAAGTGTTCAACTTCAAGGAACACGGAGACGAAGTGCACAATTTATCTAGGGTCATGGTGACCTCAGCGTGGTCCGACCGCGTAATAGAGCCCATGGTGGAGTCAGACACTTTGGGTACCGTGAGAGAATTCACCAAGAATAGATCAATAAGTGTCATGTGGAGCCGAATAAAAAGTATAGTCGTGGTCGTCGGGGTGATGGGCCCTCCAGACATCTATGAGACCTGCGCGTTATATGAAACAATGAAGCAATTTATCTTGCCCGCCCCTTCTATGTGATCGCGGTAACCCACCACAAGGACCCCTATCCAAAGCGGGACATGGTGCCGCATTGAAGTCACCCCCCACGATCACCATGCCATGCGGCAGAGTGAGCACCAACCGAGCCATTTCGTCCCAAAAGGCAACGGACGGGTCATTTGGAGAGTCTCCGATACCAGCACCAACCGACCCCCCGGTTCCGCTTTTACGGTCCCTACCCTGAACGGGCACCTGTGATGCAAGAGCACAGCTACTCCGTTCTTCTTGTTGAGTGCTCTAGTCTTGTATGCAGTACTAAAGGTGTGGTCTTTTAGGGAAAACCTTGCCGACACCGGTATATGCGTCTCCTGCAGGAATGCTATATCAGGATCTAAGCGTTTAAGTTCCCTGAACATGAGGCAACATTTTTTCGGGGCATTCAGGCCCTAACATTTAATGATATTAGTTTCAGAAGCATGATAAAACTAGGGGGTTATATTGTGCCTTACATATCAACCTACCGTGAGGCGGCAACCAGTATGCAACTCGTATTAGTATGCTCACTGATTGTTGGGCTGATCCCTTATGATCCCCGTGCAGCCAATAGTCGTTCCAGATCTTTCCCAATCCCCCTCCTGAGGGAAAAAAAGAACAGGGGAAGGTAGGGAAGGGAAGGGAGAAAGAAGGAAGAAAAGAGTAGAGAACAAAGGTGACACACAGTATATACAACTTTTACCTGGTCTTACCCATAGCCAGGCTTAAATGGGGCGTTTGTCCAAGCCTTCCTAGGACATCAACGAAGCTCCAGGGTAACAGGGACATAGACCAATGTGTAAACGCACCACTAGGGTGCCAACTTGAGCATATTATTGGATAATATGCAAATTGTAACTATTTGGCTGTTATACTTCACGAAAATTGGAGCTAATTGACCAACCCCACCAATGAACCGCCCCTGCCCCCCCCCCCCTCCCCACGGACAAGCCCATGGAACCTGCCCACTGGCTCACCACACTCTACATATCGTTAAGGTAATTCAATGTAAGGGCCGCCCCGACAAGATAAGGGGGGTGGGGGAGGAGCAACAACGGCCAATGGAACAATTCCGTGTCTACAGCGGGGGTAGGATGGCCACTTTAATAGACCATGCAGCTCTATGTGCCAGGTCAAGCGTGGAAGGACCCAGTAGGGCTTGCCCATTTCTGTTTCACAGATTGTTTGCTGGGTCTATGTTGTCTTTTGAGGCCATATGGTAGCCCAGGAATGTGTATTAACCCAATCATGACACTTAGTCATGATCGCTGGCCTAAGAGATTATATATATATATATATATATATATATATATATATATGTGTATATATATATATATATATATATATATATATATATATATATATATATATATATAAAGTAGAGAAAGCTGCACTCACATTCTCCAGTTAAAATTCAACACTTTATTTATTTTTCATTAAAATATATCGACGTTTCAGTCCCACATTCAAACTATCCTCAGGATCAAACATAACATACAAGTGTAACAATAGTCAAATATATAGGTAAGTAACAAGTGAACATAAATGAACATAAACTCACCCCAGGTGCTGTGAACCGCCATCGGCGTCCCCGAGTCCTGGACGCATGCATATAAAAGCTCCTCTCTACTTAATAGCATTTTGCCTTCCTCTTTGTGAAAGAGAGGGGGTGACCGAGGCAAAATGCTATTGACTAGAGAGACCTATTGGCTCCATGAACTGGGCACTTTATCTCCAGGGGGACTCAATGAACCCATTCCCTTTTATTCCTTTTTGTGAAATGAAGCAATGAGACTCCTATTGTGCCCATGTGATCATGGTGATCACATGGTGATCACATGGCCCTGGAGGACCGGAGTTACAGCAGGGGGACTGATGGGCTCTCTGGCAGTCCCTCCCAAACGGGATCGCCACATATCGCTGGTCCAGGTAAGTAAATGGGTCCGATTTGCCGCTAACGTACCAGGTAGTGCGAAGTCATTAGCGACTGCTTTTTGTCGGACGTACCTGGTATGTCCAAGGTCGGGAAGGGGTGGGAGGTTATTTAGTAACTCCAATGGCCATTAGATGTAAGCCAGATCTGCCACGTCAAGGCAAACCTTTAAGGTGGATCCTACACTAACAATTCATCATGCTTCCTTCAGCTTCAGGCAAGAAACCTCTAATGAGACAGAGAGGGGTATTTTTCTAAACTTTTACAAACTTATTAACTCTTAATAGGGAACACATGGGATGGGTGGCAGAATGGTAACATGGCTGTGTGATACAAAATACACAAAAATAAGTACTGAGCTCAAACTCCCACTACTGTACCACTTACAGATTACTAGAACCAGTGATCAGCTCCAGATGTATGCACTTAAAGGACCACTATAGTGCCAGGAAAACGAACTCGTTTTCCTGACACTATAGTAATAATAGGTCCCCTTCATCCTCATGGCCCCCCTCCTGCTGGGCTAAAGGGGGAAGAAGGGGTTAAACACTCGCCAGGCTCCCTCGGCGCTGGGGACTCTCCTCCTCCTTCGGACGTCATCGGCTTAATGTGCGTGCGCGGCAAGAGCCGAGCGTGCATTCAGTCAGTCCATAGGAAAGCACTCTCAATGAAAATCACAGTGAGAAGCGCGGAAGCGACTCTAGCGGCTGTCAATGAGATTAACCCATATGTCAACCCATATGAGATTAACCCATATGTCTAGCGGCTGTCAATGGATTAACCCATATGTCAACATAGCAGTTTACAGCAGGCAGGGTTTACTAGAGGGAACTGGCACCTACACCACTTCATTGAGCTGAAGTGGTCTGGGTGCCTATAGTGGTCCTTTAAGTGGTATAATCCCCGCCTGTGGATGTGTTGATGATCCCGGACCGCTGCAGGAAGGTTCTCCAGGTCTATCAGTCACTCTTGGTGCCAGGTGTTCACGAGTTTTCTTCTTCAATGTGCAAGGAAGTCACCAGTATATAGGATGAAAATAAAACATAATATAGTGTTTTCTGTATAGCTGAGAAAAAAAATAATAAAAGTATACTCACATAAGGAAAGCAAAAGGATGTTTTTCTCAATCCTATATAGTTTAAGTGGTATCTTTCCCACAACAAAAATAAAATTGTGCATCCTCCGGATTAAATACTCAAGGATAATATCAGGAAGGGACAAGTAGAAAACTAGTTTTATTTAAAGGACCACTCTAGGCACCCAGACCACTTCAGCTTAATGCTAGGCTTAACCCATTCTTTTATAAACATAGCAGTTTCAGAGAAACTGCTATGTTTATGAATGGGTTAAGCCTTCCCCCAAATCCTCTAGTGGCTGTCTCATTGACAGCCGCTAGAGGCGCTTGCGTGATTCTCACTGTGAAAATCACAGTGAGAGCACGCAAGCGTCCATAGGAAAGCATGCTTTCCTATGCGACCGGCTGAATGTGCATGCAGCTCTTGCCGCGTGTGCGCATTCAGTCAACGGGGAGGAACGGAGGAGGATCGGAGGAGAAGAGCTCCCCGCCCAGCGCTGGAAAAAGGTAAGTTTTAACCCCTTCCCCCTTCCAGAGCCGGGCGGGAGGGGGACCCTGAGGGTGGGGGCACACTCAGGGCACTATAGTGCCAGGAAAACGAGTTTGTTTTCCAGGCACTATAGTGGTCCTTTAAGACAAAAATAATAAAACCAATATACAGCATAAAAATTTTTTTTTTTTTAAACGCATTTCACCAGATAGGGCTTTTTCATCAGTCTCCAAAGATACTACACTAGATTTCGTTTTTATCTTATTCTCTTTCATACTACTTTAACATCACATGGCTTTGAGGACACTCTGAAGGCGCTGCTTCCCTACATCTCCTTGCACTCAAAATAGGCAACGTAGACAGAAAATGTGACTTTAACACAATTAGAGGCTGAGGTAATTTAGTCTATGGCAAAGGAAAATATTGTCTTTTACAGAAAGAACAATAAGGATGTGGAAATCTCTGGTTGAAGTGGTGGTTTTATCAGAATCTTAAAGGATCACTATAGGGTCAGGAACACAAACATGTATTCCTGACCCTACAGTGTTAAAACCACCGTCTAGCCCCCACTGGGCCCCTCATGCCTCCATAAATATAGCAAAATCTTACTGTATTCAAGCCTGAAGCTGTAACTCTGCAGGCTGTTTGCCTCAGAAAAACAAGCAGTCTGCTGACATCATCAGAAGTGGAAGTCTGATCCAATCACAATGCTTCCCCATAGGATTGGCTGAGACTGACAAAGAGGCAGATCAGGGGCAGAGCGAGCATGATTCCAACACAGCCCTGGCCAATGAGCATCTCCTTGTAGAGATGAATTGAATCAATGAATCTCTATGAGGAAAGTTCAGTGTCTGCATGCAGAGGGAGGAGATACTGAATGTTTGGATGCATTTTAGGTAGCCATGACCCAGGAAGGATCTCTAACAGCCATCTAAGGAGTTGCCAGTTAAGTTATCACTAGGCTGTAATGTAAACACTGCATTTTCTCTGAAAAGACAGTGTTTTCAGCAAAAAGGCTGAAGGTAATGATTCTATTCACCAGAACAAATTCAATAAGATATAGTTGTTCTGGTGACTATAATGTCCCTTTAAACAAGTGGATGAATACATGCAAAAACAGAACATTCAGGGAAATAATTTTTAATTGGTGGGGGTAACATATTTTTGATACGAGGAGAGATCTGTATGCAATTCTATGGTCAAGAAGGAAGTTTTCAGTATGTTTCAAAATTAAAAAGCGCTTCAACCTGGGTTTGCCTTCTTTTGAATCAAACGAAACAAAACAGATGTGAGAAAGAATATCTCTTTTAAGGCTCCATAACTATGTAACAATGACTGTACTTAAAACCCCCAAAAATAAAGAACTACCCTTAATCACTGCACTAGGACCTAACCCTCAAAATATTCCAAAACATAATTTTTTAAAAAGTGTGAAGAGATTCAACTTTATTATTGTTTTCTATGTTTGTTTCAACACTAAGAGGTTGCCTTTTACTTGTCCACAATATATCAGCAAAAACACTTTAATTCTCTTATTACTATGATAGGAATTACTCTGATATGTGCAATCAATACCAAAGAGAGTCTGCCTCATAAAACAGCTATCAATGATTCAACAAGAGATACATAATGTTATTGTGATTAGAAAGTTATAATATTGTGAACACAGAATAAGAAAAAGTTTATCATACATGATAGCTGTATGCAGAGGAAAGCTAATAACTATTACGTTCAAATTTTAAATGATGTTCTAATTAAAAAAACCTTCCCATACAGCTCAACTAACAATCTAAATGATTCCCTAATTATGTGTAAAAAAGGTGGAGGGGGAGCTTAGGAAGATAAGCTATTTAAAATTGCATTCAATAGAGTTATATGGAAGACCAACAATGTCATCTGGAGGGAATACATATTGAGTGAGATGATCACCACTCCACATATAGCAAGCTACAGAGGACATCATTAAGGGGATTTAAATGGTCAAATTCCTTACATATACTGCAAACTCTGAACTCTGAGCTGGTATAGCAGTAGACTCTGCAGATGTGACACAGTCGAGGTATGGTAGGAAAACACTGTTGTAATTCAATTTTATATAGATGTAAACAGCAGCTTCCCATAGGCCACACTTCCTACAGCCCCCTTATAGTGACAAACGTAATTCTATTTCTGTACTTTATCATTCTGTATCCCATATTATAATGTGCCTAACAGAATGTCACAATGGTTATGGTGCTAAGACTTCAATAGATATCATACCATTTACATTTGCATGCTTCTTTTCATGATCGCATAGCTTCCTTGTCATCATCTTTGTGGGCTGTAAGCAGATGTTAGGATCTGGATAAACATCTTGGTGTGGTGGATTTAAACTGACGGTGGCACCGTTTTTGGACTCAGTAATATTCTGAAATTAAAGAATACAATTAGAAACAGGAAAAGCAAACTATTTTCAATTTACAACAATAACCAATAATGAGTAACATTAAATGAATAGTAGGATAGCTTATAAAGGGTGTCAGTGTTATTATAATTAGGGCCCCCACCCATCACCCATGAATGGGACAGAGAAAGGGGACAGTAGATCCTCTTCCATCAATATTATAGTAGCCGATAACGGAGTAACACAGAGTACGGAGCAATGGACACCATAAATGGTTAACTAAATGTGGGAAGAATTGTAAAATTCACTTTCAGTTCCCAAAATGTTTCACTTTAGTGAATAGCCCTGAATATATTTGCTTGTGTGGTCTCTTAAAGAGATAACATGAGACCACACACGTAAAAAGAGTACATCATTAAAAGGATACTCCACTGCCAAATACAAAAATAAATAAAAATCACTGTTTAGTAGATATACCCCAAGTGAAACTGTGCATGCATTAAGTTATGTATTTTTTTTTCATTGGGGGTATATCTAAGCTTGCAAAACCTGCAGTTCTCTTGTTTGCTACCTTTGCAAGCAATCCTTTTCTAATCCCACACAGTCCTTCTTTTTTTGTCCAATCACAGACTTCTCAAAACAGCTCAATGAGAAGTCTTTGCAAGTCAAGTGCTCTGTGCAATTGATGCCTCTTGAGGCCTGCTGCATTGAGCTAACAAAACAAGGAAGTAACAGTACATGCTGTCTGCTTGAAAGCTAAGGAAGGTCATTTACAGAAGTGTCAATTTTTATTGAAATCTTTTTGCAAAATGAATAAAGAGGACACACTCTTCACACATTTCAGCAAGCTAATGTTGTTTAGGTGTCTGGACTGACCCTTTAAATATTTCAAGAACTAAAGATAACATTTAACTCACTAAAGGGACACACGATACACTAAAACTAATACAGCGTATGTTGTTGACAGTGGAAGGAATGGGTGCTGTCCCTCCAGTTGTTGCACATCTGATTTCAAATGGATGGACAAAAACTCACTCAGGGCCGGCGCAACTGGGCATTCGCCCAAGATGTTTCCGGGTGGGCTGCCTGCCCCTCTTGAGCCGCCCCCAGCGCCGGGCCGATCCTCAAGGCGCCCGAAGAGGACCCTCAAGGCGCCGAGAGGAGCCCTGTCACAGGGGGGGCAAGAAGGTGGCCATCTGGCCACCTCAGGACGGCCCCAAAGCTGTATTAGTTAAGGCAGAGCAGGCATCTGCTTAACTTGTTGGGAGGTGTCTGCTCTGCCAAAAAGTGCTGGTGACCTATCCTAAGGAGAGGGGGAAGGAGAAGCCAGACAGCGATGGAGGCTGTTCCTCAGCCTCTCACTCCTCCCTGCCAGGAGCCAGAATTTGCCATCATTCTGGCCCCAGCATACTAAACAGAGCGCTGGAGGAGTGGACCCAAGGAAGGTAGGGAGGCTGGATGTCTGAGTCTGTGGTAAGTGTGTGTGTGAGTGTTTGACTGTCAGTGAGTATGTGTGCCTGACAGTGAGGGAGTGTATGTATGTCAGTGAGTGTCCGCCTGTGTGTGTGTGTGTGTATGTCTGTCAGTGAGTGAATGTATGTATGTCAGTGGATGGCAGAGGGTGAGAGAGGTTGCTGGACTGGCAGAGAATGGATGTCAGAGGGTGAATGGCCGAGGGTGAAAAGGGTGGCTGGGCTGTTCCTCACCTGACTCTCCGGTTGCCTCTCACAGATAGGCAGTGAGTGAGTGAGTGAATGTAGGTCAGGGAGTGTCTGCCTGTGTGTGTGTGTGTCTGTCAGTGAGTGAGTGTATTTATGTCAGTGAATGTCTATCTGTCTGTGTGTCTGTCTGTCAGTGAGTGAGTGTATGTTTATCACTGAGTGTGTGTGTGTGTGTGTGTCTGTCTGTCAGTGAGTGTCTGTCTGTCAGCGAGTGTGTGTGTCAGTCAGTGTCTGTGTGTGTGTGTGTGTCAGTAAGTGAGTGAGTGTATGTCTGTCAGTGAGTGTCTGCCTGTGTGTGTGTCTGTCTGTCAGTGAGTGTGTGTGTGTCTGTCAGTGAGTGTATATGTATGTCAGTGAGTGTGTGTGTCTGCCACTGTGTGTCTGTCAGCGAGTGAGTGGCATTAGGGGGTGGCAAAATGGATCTTTGCCTAGGGTGTGTAACAGTTTATCAGGGAGTTGGAGCCCAGTTGCAGGAGATGGCACAAAGAGAATGCAAAAACCAAAACACAGTACAAATAAAGGGTTAATCCAAAGGCAGGGCCAGACGAGAAGCATAAGTCCCTGCTGCCAGCGGGGTATCGTAGTATGTAAGGCAGGCAGAGGTCAGAGTCCAGGAACTCAGTCAGCAGAGTAACAAAGATCCGGCAGGAAACACCAAACAAACAAAATGACCAGATACCAGGTCTCAGGCTTTTACCCCGTGACAGAGCCCCCCACAAAGAGCGACCTCCGGGTCGAACAGACAGTTGCAGAAAAACAAAAAACAAAAGTTATTTTTCAGGTATTTTCTTCAGTCGGATAATAAAGAGCAAATCAATGTCGCCTTTTCTTCTATTTATCTCTAGTATGTATCGCTGATTCGAATAAATCAAGGTCTTCTTTTCTGATGATAGAGCCAATGGCCTTAAGAAACCGTTCAAAGACCTCAGACCCCAGATATGGGATTTAAAAAGGAGAGAATGCGGATTTTCAGCATAAGGACATTGTTTTTATTGTTTTGTAATTTATATGTGTAATTTTTAATACTTAAATACATTGATCAATTGGATCTTTTTTAGTCCAGACCTGCTGCTAACTTCATCTACTTCTAAAGAAGAATCTAGTGAGAATGATTTTTTAGGACCAAGAAGTCATTTCCTCAGACAAAACCATCTAGAACCCCCACCATCCAGCACCAGGAAGAGACCTTATTTAGAGGATGTAGGGGGGGGGGGGGAAGAGATACCGTAGGAGAGAAGAAAATGAGAAGGTAGAGGAAATAGGAATTTTTAATTTGTCAAACATCACATTAACCAAACATCAAATTAAAGTATTAAATAGAGGTCTAAAATATGCCCCTACTATCAAATCTGACCCATTTACAGCATTCTTGTGATGTAGAATTATTAAAATCTTTATTAGAACCTGTATTGAATTATTGTACTAACTCCATTTTGTTCACCTTACATGACAGAATTTCCTGACAGTATTCAGTATAATGAATAAGAGATTGTATTTTCTCTCTCTAAGGACATAACTAGCCCCGGAGTTAGCGGATCTCCGTTGACTTGCAACATAGTATAATCCAAGGCCAGGAGAACAGCGACAAAATGAAATGTTCTATTCATAAAAGAACCTTGGAACAGACCACGAGACTGACATCACTAACTACGTAAAATGACGCCCAAGCCCCCCTTTCCACCGAGTAAGCCTCGTGCTAAAGAGCAATGGCGACGACATCCCATGATGGGAGGGTGCCTCACTAGTCACTCAAATCTCTGAGCCAATTAATAATATTAATGGGTGGACACTGACATAGCCACTTAACATTTAACCCAATTAATGATGTTTATTTGTTATTATCTGATATTCAATGATGATGTCATTTTGCATATAAAAAGGCCTGCGTGCCCGCTTTTTAACTAGATGCTAATAAATTTCCTGAAGTGTTTTTAACCTGAACTGCATGTGTCAGTGTACACTTACTTCTGCGTATACGCAATTTATTCATCTCAGATTTGGACAGGAACAGATAGACTTTTAAACATTTTTGTTTATTTCTAAATTAATCTACATCAATCGGATGTACAAAAATTTATGAGAAATTTAACTTTAAAGAAATTTTTTGCAAATAATTTTATTCCACAAATTAAGATTAAAGAAGTTGACAACTTCCACCATACCACCTTAAAAAAATAAATCTAAGTTCTGTCCAACGAACCAAATGAGTGGCCCAATGTCAGCCTTCAATCTGGCAGTTATTGCAGATATAGAAAAATTACCTAAAAGAGTGTCGAAACATAAACAGAATCTAAATATTTGGGAGAAAAGAGCATTAAGAGAGCTATGTGAAAATAGGGATATCACAGTGAAACCAGCCGATAAGGGGGGGGAGGGATTGTCATCCTCAATACCAAAGACTCTGACAGAGAATGTAGAAAAATACTTAACGATCCACTTACTTATAAACAACTACATAAAGATCCCACTTTAGATATGAAGAAGAGCCTGTTTAACATTTTAGAAAAAGGAAGGTTTTTAAATATATTAAACAAAAAATAATTAGAGTTTGTTATGGTTGTACACCCGATAAAACCAATTACCAAAAATCCATAAAAATTTAGAGAGTCCCCCAGGCAGACCCATAATTTCAGGGATAGGGTCCCTCACATGCAATTTATCACAATATATCGATGAGATCCTGCAGCCCTTTGTGAAGAAAGCCAGGTCATATCTGAGAGATAGTGGGGATTTGTTAAAAAATGTAGAAGGCCTGAAATAGGAAGAAGATTTCCTCATGGTGACATGTGATGTCACATCCTTATACACTGTTATAAAACATGATTTGTGAATCAAGGCAGTAAGGAAAATCCTATATGAGGACCCCACCATGCTGGTAGAACAAGTGGAATTCCTTATTGAGTGTATAGATTTCATACTAAACAATATTTTTTTTTGGTATGAAAAAGATATTTATCTTCAAGTCAATGGTAACACTATGGGGACCAGGTTCGCTCCCAGTTATGCCAATATATTTATGGCTCATTGGGAGAACCTGTTTATTTGGCAGGGTCACCAGTGGGGGGCGAACCTGGTCTTCTATAGACGGTACATTGACTATTGCTTTTTTTGTCTGGAAGGGGAAAGAACCAGAGTTACTGGAATTCCTTGCTTACATCAACGACAATGAATATAATCTGTCCTTTACGTATAAATACAGTCCCACAGATATAGATTTTTTTAGATCTGGTATTATATACAGACCAACAAAGAGTCTTAAAGTCTAAAACCTTCTTCAAAAGTGTAGATGTGAATAGCTACATTTGGACCTCTAGTTGCCATTATCCATCTTGGCTATCGGGAGTTCCCTTTAGTCAATTCTTGAGAGTGAAGAAGAACTGCACAGATCCGGATGTATGCGATTCACAACTACAAAAAGTTAAACAACAATTCGTGGAAAAGAATTATGATGAGAACAGCTGCTCAAAAAATACAAACCATAGAACGCTAAACACTTTTTGCCAACAAAACCAACGAGGCAAAACAAAACGGAATTATGGGAGACTTTTGTCCCCTAGTCTTTAATTACAGCACCCAAGCTTGCTTCCTAAAAAAAGAGTATACAAAAGCACTGGCACTTATTGTGCCAGGATCTGTTTTTAGTGGGAATCCTGCCCAAGAAACCTAGGGTAGTGTTTAGGGGTGCACCCACATTAAGAAATAAACTAGTACACAGCTATAATAAACCTGTAAAAAATAATCATTTTTTAACAGGAAAAAATGTTTTTTATAAATGTGGTACATGTAATATATGTAAATTAAATCCGAAGGGAGAAAACTCCACCGCTTTTAAATCATCTGTCACGAAAGAAGTGTTTGATATTAAAGAGTGTATCACTTGTAAGACCAAACAAGTGATCTACATGTTGGAGTGCCCTTGCGGCCTCCAATATGTAGGACAAACGAAAAGAGCCTTAAAAGTCAGACTCGGGGAACACGTTTACAATATCAGAAGAGGTTTTGATAAGCATTCTCTTTCGAGTCACTTTAAAACATATCATAACAGTGATCCAACATTACTCAAATACAGTGGTATCCAAAAAATAGAAATACCTTGGAGGGGAGGTGAACTAAACAAAATCTTAACTTATAGAGAAATGAATTGGATATATAATTTAAAAACTTTAGCCCCTATGGGCTTAAATGCTGAGTTAGAACTAGCAAATATACTATAAATATGTTTAATACCTATAGAGAAACCATGGATAATATATATATATTTAGCCATTGTATAGATAAGACATTTACTAGTATTATTTGTCATCATAATCTATTTATCGAACAAACTATTATATACTTGAAAATAGCATTTGGAATATGCATCTACAATACCCACTTTTCACATATTTTTGTGTGCACACATACATCTTAGAATAAGATTTGTGCTGGTCATGATTATTATTTTTAATACTTTTAAGAATGAGTTGAAAATGTTCAGTTTCACATGCATGGATAGAACTGTATAATATCAAGCAATATATCTATGTAATCATATATGTTTTGAAAAAAGTTCTGTTTTTTATTGGTATAAATTGTCTTTTAATTGTTGTATCAAGGAAGATGCATAGTTTACTATTATTTTTATCTTGAAAGACGTTTTTCCATAATAGGATTTGATGTGTGTAAAAAATGTGTATACCTTTAAGAATTCAAATGTGCTTTTCCCGGCAAGGTATATAACCGCTGAATAGCACATGAAACACCTATCTTGAAAAAGCCCACTAAAGAGGGGCGAAACGCGTTGATTAGGTGTTCATTAACTTTTATTTTTTGTGTGGCTGCCAATACCCTGCATGTCATGCCTTCTATGCCAACCAGAGTTACTTTTGCAGAGAGGAGGATTTCACCGAACTCACAGCCTGCCTCAGTGCACGAGGCGAATGCTGTTTTCACCTGCAAACCAGAAGGCACTTTTGGAGCAGAGGAGAGAAAAGACTGCAGCCAGATAAGCTTTTAGTGTGGTCCTTAGAAATAAGCACCACATCTTTTTCCTGTAAGGGTTCCAATGTTGGGGAGGGGGATTCCCTTTTTGTTTTAAGACATTAAATACAGTATTACACTATATTTATTTTCTGTCTTTTTTAAGGGATTTCAAGCAAAAGATTGTGTTTCCTAACAATACTGTGGACTTCCCTTCATTTTGGACCCTGCTATAAATTACACATATTGGACTGTGATACAATTTTGTTTTATGTTATATTTTTATTGTTACAATCAGCAATATTGATACTTTTATATTCTACACTGTATTTCATTGCTGTTTCCAATTATTACAGATACATTTGCAAGTATGTTCACCCCTAACTAAATCTAAGGGGATTATTCACTAAGCGCTGACAACATAATTCAAAAAATTTACACATTGAATTTGGGAAATTCTTTTTTTTTTAGCAGCCATTATCTATATGTACTCTGTACCATTTCATATAAGTATAACTATATATATTTTTGTGCTGTTGACCTCCTTTGTAGAAAGCTAAATACTGGTTTCCTGCCCTGCTGCAGATCCCACTCTCCTTCCCGCTATGGCGGATCCCATTCTCATTTGCATCCCCAACTTCGTCTGGTGGCTTGGATGCCTTCCAAGGTTCCTGGAACAGAGCTGACCTTTTAAAAGCGGCTCAAGCTCTTCTCAGGGACTCCTGGGCACCGGCAACTCATAAGACTTAACTCCATGAAGGAGAACAGGAAATCACTGGTGTGTGTGGAACACAACAGATTGATTCCTTTACAGTTGTGGTGATCCTAAACTTCCTGGTGCATCTTGTCTCAGGGTAAGTCTTATATGAGGAAAAAATAGAAAGAAATGGGTGTAAAAGGGAATAAACATCACCTCCACACTGATCCCATGCACTAGGAGGGCATTCCAGCAATGCCCAAGAGCTTAACACTAGATACTAACAACAGAAAAAAGAAGCAAAAATTCAGAAACTGTGAATATAATGCTGACTTGAGATAAAGGTGTAGGCACCAAAGCATCCAGTGGTATGGAACAATGTAACCAGAAGGAGACCAATAAATATCTAAAGTAACCGAAAGTATAACACAGAAATGAATTGTGATTCCAAATAATAATAAATACCAAACTAGCCTTATAAGGCTACTCCCATGCCTAAGTAAGTGAGGAGATCTCCCCACTGCAATATTCTGCAATATTCATATAGGCTTTATTAGTCCTCTTTATTATACCCTTAGTATGGGTCTGGTTACTTTACGGTGGGTCTATGATGTTCTTGGCTTTGACTCTGTGTCTTTCTCTAAGGACGGAATGTTTGCTGAAATATGTCATAGGAGAATGTCAGGGCAGGTCAGGGCAGAGCGGAGAGACTGAATAGGGGCATACCTACGGATCAGTAAAGAAATATAGGAGGGGATAGAATTGTTCAGTGCTTTATAGGTGTGGATTAGTACCTAGAATTTAATCCTATAGTATACAGGAAGCCAACGTAAGGACTGACAGAGGGGAGAGGTGTGAGAGGAGCGTCAGGAGAGGAAAATCAGTCTAGCTGCAGCATTCATTACAGATTGTAGCAGGGCAACACGACTTCAGGGAAGACCAATTAGGAGTGAGTTACAATAATCCATGCGAGAGATTACTAAAGCATGGACAAGCTCCTTAGTAGCATCTTGTGTAAGAAAGGGGCGGCTATATTTCTAAGATGGAATCTACAGGATTTGGTAAGAGACAGGATGTGAGGCTCTAAGGTGAGGACAGAATCAAATATAACCCAAGACAGTGCACTTGCAAGCATGGGCTGATGTGGATACCACCAACTTGAAGGGAGAGTAACAGTGTCAAAGGCAGCAGAGAGGTCAAAAAGAAGTAGTATGGAGTAGTTTCCTTTGGATTTAGCTGTGAATAGGTTGTTAGTGACTTTAATAAGAGCAGTCTTGGGGGGCGTGGCTAACTGCCGAGGCGAATGGCCGCATGGAGTAGTTGCTACGGCCTCAAAACACCCAAAAGCTTGAAAAATCGAAGCAAACCACCGCCACACTGACCCCGGCACACTATCTGTTTCGCTGCTTCTGATGGCACCTGCAAAGCAAACAAAACTTACGGACCCTGTTCTGTAACGCCAAAAAAGACAGAGCGCGGCCTACACAAAATGGCGATGATGGCCCGCAGGCCTCGCAGGGAGATGAACTGCACGAGGAGCAGGAACACAAAGCAAGCCACTGCACTAATGCGCCTGTGACGGCTCTATGCTATGCTCCAGGAATTTCGGGTGTTGCTCCGATCCGATTTTAAAATGGTTACTAGCGAGCTGAGGAAATACATCAACGACCTAGGTGGGTGAACTAACCGCCTAGACCCCCGCTCTGATGAATTGTGCACGGAACAAAATGACGATGGCAGAAACTGTGCACCATCTAGTTATGGAACACCAACAACTCAAGAGGAAAATGGCAGACATAGAGGACAGATCCAGGAGAAGCAATCCTGGAATCGGTCACACGGGAGGCACTACCTGCTTACCTGCTCGGGCTGTGCAAAGCCCTCTCACCAACCACTGTGGAACACGAATGGCTCATGGACAGAGCACACCGGCTCCCGCGACCACCAAGACTGGCCCAAGACACTCCAAGGGATACAGTCGTGAGGTTCCACTACTTCCGGACGAAGGAAGCGCTACTCACTGCGGTTCAAAAGCTGCCAAAGTTACCGGACCTCTACGAGACAATCCAACTGTACGCGGATCTCTCTGCACTCACTATGGCCCACAGGAGAGAGTTCACCACGGTAAGGAAAACGCTCAGAAACAACAACATACCTTACAGATGGGGATATCCCACAAAGATTCTCGTGTGGTAGAATGGAAAGAACTATACGACAGAGGAACCAGAAGTGGGCATGCGACTACTCGCAGAATGTAGCCTGTTCCCATACAAAGCACCTGCAGAACCGGCCGCAAAGTCACCGAGACGGCTCCAAGAAGACTGGCAAATGGCGGGATCGCCTAACAAAGCCAGAAAGAACTGACCGACCGTACCGCTATCCGCACAGCGGGTCCTAGACTGACACACCATGCATATCCTTTAATAATCAATAGCTGTTATGCTGCATGGGCATAGGCCCAGATGGGGCATCTTCCTCGTGTCCCCGTCTTAACTGGACACTTATTAAGCCTGACAGGCCATTAATTCCCTTTTCTAAACAATTGCTATTATATGATGTTAGCACAGACCCAGTTGAAGTAACCCTTGTCGTCCCCTGGTTCAACGGAAAACACGCATAGATGGCCACTAATACTATTATTGAGGTCGGTGACCGCTGGCTGAATGGACACACTTAGGCACTCCCCCCCAGTAAATGCCGAGAGCAATCTCGCTCTGCCGACCACAAACCACCCAGGGCCTGGATGCCTAGACCCAGCCTGGGCGCCGCTGGCGGCACAGGCCGTAGCGCCTTTACTAATTCTTTACCACTCAGAAGGGCCTAGCAAAGAACCCACCCCACTACAAGGCAGTGCACGCTGGCAAGATCATTCCACGCAGTGGGTGCAGGAGGGGGGCTCGGGTGGGCAGGCAAGACAACCCTGTTTATAGTCATGCTGCAGTGCACAATAACCCGGGCACAACAAGGGGAAAGTACAGTGTAAAACTAGGTAATAGCTCTCTCATGATGTTAAATGTATATAAATGTGTGCAACTGAATATTGTGCTGACAGAACCGAGACCGAAGCTGCCTCACACTATGCTGACAAGGACGGGGCGACAAGGGCATCTCCATGCTTGGGGGACACAGTTTAAACACAGTTTAAGTACAAAAGATCTGAGGGTGAGCCCCCAACCTCGGACATGAGGCCATCCCCATCCCTAAGTGCAGCGGGTGGGACAAAACCAAGAAAGGAGGCTACCACATGACATGGGGCACCGAGGGCGATGAAGCTGGGATGGGGAATACCCGAGAGGGCACAGGGTCTTCACGCCGCTCTGTTTACTGAGCAAACCCCCCTCAAGGCTGATGACGAAAGGCGGCCAGGAGTGCCGACTTAAGTATCAGTCAATGAGAACGCCTATAGAGGCGTTAACAACATGTACATACTTTCTTTCATTTTCAAGTTTCCGTTTAACCCCCCCCCCCCTCCCGTTTCCCAGGTTCACGTGTCGCACTACTCATCCCGATATTCAAACTCAACAAACCACTCTATTCCGCACTCGCCTAGCAAATGACAATGGATGACACCCTCACGATATTCTCGATGAACGTAAAAGGCCTCAATAGCCCTCACAAACGCAGGCTGACTGCCCGTGAAATATTCAAATACAAGGCGGCAATAGCGTGCCTGCAGGAGACCCACAATCTGCCCAAATACCAAATTAAACAATATACCCAAGCTTATCAAGCAATGGCCAATACAAAATCCAAAGGGGTGTCTATTTAATTTCACAGGGACTAGGTATTCTCCCTCACTAAACAACACACAAGCAAGGATGGGAGACTATTAATACTGATGGGATCGTTAAAGGGCCTTCAAGTAACGGTGGCTTCCTTGAATGCTCCCAATGATACACACAAATCCTTCTTGACCACGGCTCTCCGAAAAATTGACCAGCACAAACAGGGCCACACTGTGATCTGCGGTGACTTTAATTGCACCCCAGACCCACACGTGGACATGTGCAAGACACATCACAAATCACTAAAGAGCAGATCAATCTCACTGGGAGAATACCTCTCCCACCTACTACACACCCACGACTACTATGATGTATGGCGCAACTTAAATCCCTGAGACAGGGATTGCACTTTTTATTCACAGGTTCATATGACATATTCTATGTCTTCTTGATAAACGTACCATGCCCGACACAATCAGAATGCACACTGGTCCCATCACCTGGTAGGACCATGCACCCATGCTGATCACGATGAAAACACCTCACCCGGCCTGGGGGAGGGGTACATGGAGACTAAATGAGGCAATACTAGACGATCCACAACATCTCAACAAATTGACAACCCATCTACACCACTACTTCTCAGACCACGAACACTGCACGACTTCACCAACAACCCAATGGGAAGCGCACAAGGCTGTAATGCGGGGGCATCTCGTCCACATTGGCTCACTGGCAAAGAGAGCTCACCGACAGGAACAGACTGGCTTGGAGTGGGAGGTCTCCACGCTCGAAGCCCAACACAACCAACCCCACAAAAAAGGTGCACACACAATTAACGGCTTTAAAAGCAAAACTAGATATCTTACAATTGCAAACAACTGAGAGACACATGTGCTATCTCAAGCAGACTTACTATATTACAGGGAATAAAGCGGGTAAACACTTAGCTAATAAACTGAAACAGAGACATATACAATTCAAAATACCCTATCTCAGCTCCACGCAAGGGGCAAAACTTTACCACCCCCGAGATATCGTTAATGAGGTTGTAAGGTAATATGAAAAACTTTATCAACTGGGCAAAGACCCAGAGACCCATCAACTGACTAGGGAGAAGATAGGGCAATTCTTGGAACAGGCAAACCTACCACAATTGTCAGCAGGCCAAGCCGACTCGCTAGAAAGCCCTTTCATTGAGGAAGAAGTTGCATTAGCAATACATTGGCTCCCTAGACATTATCGCCCGACCTAAGTGGGCTATGAAACTACTATTACATAAAGTTAGCACCACAACTGTCTCCTCGCCTCACTACCCTCTTTAATTACATGAAAGAATTGGGAAATCAAAAAGGATATGCTGGGAGCATTTATTGTAACTTAGCCAAAACCCAACAAATCCCTCATGGTATGTGCCGATCTACGCACAATCTCCCTGCTCAATGCGGAAGTTGTATGCCAAATTAGTGGCGGCGAGACTCAGACCCCTGCTAGCCACACTGATATCCGAGGAGCAAGCAGGATTCGTGCCTGGGAGACAGGTGGAGTACAACACCAGACATTTTCTAAACCTCATAGATTGGGCCAACCACTCCTCCCAAAGGGGGCTAATCCTCACTTTAGATGCTGAAAAAGCATTCGATCGCCTGCATTGGGGATATATGGAAAGGACCCTGGTGAAGATAAACATCCCCCCCCCTGAATTCATTGATAGCATATTAGCCCTCTATAAGCGGCCCTCAGCCAAGGTTTTTAGCACAGGCTTTCTCTCGAATTCATTATAATCTTTTCGATAATCTTCATCTTGTGTCTAGAACCGCTCATACGACAGATTAACCAAAATAGGCAAATCACGGGACTAAACACCCCAAGGGGAACCAAAAAGCTAGCACTCTTCGCTGACGATATCCTCGTATTTGTCACAAACCCAGGTAAATCCATCCCTGAGTTGCTAGAACTACTGGGGCAATATGGCCAACCTTCTTACTATAAAAACAACACGGCCAAGATCCAGGCACTGCCTATAAACCTCCCACAAGTCGAAGTAGCCCAACTGGAGGGACGCTTTAGCTTCGACTGGCGACGTAAAACATTGGCCTACCTAGGTATAAACTTAAAGTCCCCTCAAAACATCCCGAAAGAAAATCATCACCCGACCTTGCATAAAGTCAAAACGATGCTAGAGAAATGGGCGGACTTAGAAGTGTCCTGGCTGGGGCGCATCAACACGCTGAAAATTATGGTACTACCCCTAATCCTCTATTTATTCCGCACACTACCTACAGCCTTACTGGATGAGCTCATAACCCAATTTCAGGCCACCACAAATGCGTATGTTTGGAAGCGGAAGCCACCTCGAGTGGCACAACACAACCTGGGGCTACCATATGACAGGGCCACAACACTAGCCAAGGGCATACGGCTCCTAAGACTTACAGGCACCCACCACCATCCTCTGTGGCTATTATTGGAAAACGCATGCTTGCGACCATGCGATCTGGTCTACTCCCTGTGGACGCACACGATCTCCCCGACAACACTCATTCCCTGGTTGCACTGCACACCTGGTACAATCCTGTGCATCCTGGTGCACACATATCATAGAGCCTGACTCCCTATTCCAATCAGCGCCAGTGGAGGCGCTGGAGGCTCTGTCTCCCGACCTATCACTGAAGACGTGGGCTGCTGCGGGAACTGAAGGGTCTTACGCACCTATTGGTTTACCGGGCAAAATGACACAGGCCTGGGAACGTAGACCCCGGACAAGAGGTGTATATGATCTCTAATGTGAACCTTGTAAAAGATGACCATGGCACCTCCCTCCCCTTCTTTCTTTCTGTACCCCAAAGTCGTATATTCATGTTTTTCTGAAAAAAACCAAATAAAAAACAGATATTGAAAAAACAAATAAGAGCAGTCTCAGTAGAGTAGAGAGAGCGGAAGCCAGACTGAAGAGGGTCAAGGAGAGAGTTGGAATTGAGGAAACAAGCCAGATGGGTAAAGACAAGTCTTTCCAGAAACTTTGAGGAAAAAGGGAGCAGAGAAATGAGACAATAGTTAGAAGAGGAGGACGGGTCAAGAGGTGTTTTTTTTTTTTGTTTTTTTTTTTTAAAGATGGGCACTACAGTAGCATGTTTAAGGGCAGTAGGGACAACACCAGGAGAGAGCAGTTGAAAATGTGTGTTAAGGAAGGCACAAGACTACAGGAGAGAGATCTGATAAGGTGAGAAGGAACAGGATCAAGCGGGCAAGTGGTGGGGCGAGAGGAAAGGTGAAGCGCAGCCAACTCTTGTTCCGTTGGTAAGAATGCAGGGTAGGAAAGGCATGATCCAGGTGTGGTTGAAAAAGAGAGTGGCAACGTGGAGAGAATTATTTCCTTACCTGTTCAATCTTGCAGGTAAAGTAGCATGCAATTATCGGCTGTAAGGTTAGTTTGGAGGGTAGCCACAGCAAGGCAAGAAGGGAGTTAAAGGTATTAAAAAGACACCTGTGATTGCGGCAACATGAGCTAATGAGGGAGGAAAAGTATGACTGTTTCGCAAGGGGAATGGCTTTGCTGTATGAACGCAACATGAATTTGTAGTGGAGAAGGGTGCGTGACTTCCTCCAGCAGCATTCAGCAGAACAGGAGCATCTCTGCAGGTAGCATGTTGATTTAGTGTGCCACGGTTGGGGGAGAATTCTCCTCGAGGTGCATGTTCGAAGCGGGACTGCAGCATCCAGGGCAGAGGTGAAGGTAGTGTTATATGAGTAGATAGCCAGTGAGGGACAGGGGAAAGTAGGGATGGATAGAAGTTCGGAAACAAATTCAGCTAGAGGTCAATAGAATCTGGGTTGAGGGGGGTTAGGCTGAGGATGACGAGGTAGGGGGCTATTGAGAGCAAATGATAAGAGGTGGTGATCTGAGATAGGAAATTGAGTGTTGCAGGGATTAGATACTGTCCATTCATGAGCGAAAATAAGATCAAGGGTAATGCAATCTACATGGTTCCTGATGGATTCCATGTTCGTTTTGTTCAGAGTTTTCTACTGACCTTCAGTTGGATGATATTTCTTCCTCTTCTGGACTCCTGTCAGTCAAAGAACGGGAATGTAGGATGGGTCTGTTGTGGGCTTAATTAATTGTCATGTGTTCTGATTGGTTGATTTTTACTGGGGTTTTTTGGTTCTGTTCTTTGTTGCTGGGAGGTTACAGTAAAGGAAGTGATGTAAATATATTTATTCAAATTTACACTATACCTCCACCTAAGTTAGGTTAAACTATAATTCTCAAATATAAGAGAAATATGTTATTTCAGTCTCTAGAGGGGTACTGCAAGAAAAATGTTTTTTGTTTTTTTTGCTTTTGCTTTTGCTTTTAGGCTGCATCTACTTGGAATAATTGATGGAACTTTTCTGTCCTCTTTGAAAGGGTTTAGATTAGGGATCGACAGATATTGATTTTTTAGAGCCGATACTGATAATCTGTCAACTTTCAGGCCAATAGCCGACAACCTGCCGATATTCTGTACATTTACCATTTGGAAAAAATAAACTATTTCTAAAGGTTAATGCACAAAATATAAATGCTATATGTAGTGGATGCAATGTGTTTAGCCAGGGAAGCTGTGTGTGTTTGTGTAGTGGATGCAGTGTGTATTTGTCTAGTGTGTATATAATGAATGCAGGGTGTGTTTGTGTATTGTGTATAGTGAATGCAGTGAGTGTTTGTGTAGTGTGTATATATAGGGAATGCAGAGTGTATGTAGTGTGTGTATAGTGAATGTAGTGTGTAATGTGCGTAAAGTGAATGCAGTGTGTGTAGTGTGCATAAAGTGAATGCAGTGTGTATAGATTATGAATGCAGAGTGTGTGTTTGTGTAGTGTGTATATAATGAATGCAGAGTGTGTGAGTTTGTGTAGTGTGTGTGTGTATAATGAATGTAGAGTGTTTGTGTAATGTGTGTGTATATAATGAATGCAGTGTGTGTGTTTGTGTAGTGTGTGTGTGTATATAATGAATGCAGAGTGTGTGTGTGTTTGTGTAGTGTGTGTATATAGTGCAGTGTGTGACTGTAGTGTGTGTGTATAATGCAGAGTGTTAAATAAGATTAAAAAAACCACTATACAAACGAAATCCATTATTTTCAATCTAACAGGAAAACCCATTTCACAGGCGGAACAAAATATTTTAAACAAAGGATTAAAATTTGTACCTTCACAACCATTAAATAAGTTTGATATGTTCATAGATCTAAATAGGTATAAAAGACAATTATGCCTAAAAAAATGCTTCATGAGAATAGAACCCCCGATACATCAATCAGTCATTTCAAAATATATCCATACAGATTTAAAAGAGAAATCGACCTTTTTTCCTAATAATTTTATATCTAAAGAAATGATTACTTTCGAAGAATCAGTGATGCGGGATATTAACCGAATTAAAACTAAAAATAAGAAATATATGAATTTAAATAAAGGCGAATGGACAGCTTTGAAAGCTCTACAGAAAGACACTCATAGGGTCATTAAACCAGCCGATAAGGGAGGTGGAATTGTCATTATGAATACAGATGATTATGTGAAGGAGGGTTTGAGACTAATAGAAGATAAAACAACATATTTTAAACTATCTGGTGATCCCACAATGGATATCAGAAAGAAATTCGTAAATTTGTTGTTAAAGGGAAAAGACATAGAAATATTAAATGAAAAAGAATATAAATATTTAAACATTTCTAAACCAAAAATCCCAGTTTTTTATCATCTCCCTAAAATTCATAAAAACTTAACAAATCCCCCAGGGAGACCGATAGTCTCAGGAATAAACTCTATATCAAGTAGACTATCGGAATATTTGGATAAGTGCTTACAACCAATAGTTCAAAAAACTCCAAATTACCTTAGAGACACACTAAATATTATACAGATACTACAGAATATAGAGTGGGAATCTGACTATATATTAGTGACAGCAGATGTCAGTTCCCTCTACACTATTATTTCACACACAAAAGGTTTAGAGGCAGTGGAATTTTTCATTAGAGAAGAAAATAATTACCCAGAGGAACAAATTACCTTCATTTTGGAAGGAATAGAGCTCATCCTCCAAAATAACTATTTTTGGTTCGAAAATGACTTTTTTCTACAAAAAATCGGCACTGCCATGGGGACCAGGTTCGCTCCGAGTTACGCCAATTTATTTATGGCTTATTGGGAAACCAAATATATAGATAGCAATACTGACTGGGGAGCGAACCTGGTCTCCTATAAAAGGTACATAGACGATATATTTTTTATCTGGAAAGGATCAGAGCAACAACTTAAAATATTCTTAACATTTTTAAATACAAATGACTGGGGGATTATATTAACCACTGAGTACAGTACCGAAAGTGTTAATTTTCTGGATTTAACTATTTTTATAGAGGACAATCGTATAAAAACGCAAACTTTTTTTAAACCAGTAGATGTGAACAATTATATCTACCTCAATAGCTGTCACTTCTCTCCATGGTTAAAAAATATCCCGAAAGCTCAATTGATGAGAATACGTAGAAACTGTACAGATAACAACACCTTTGAAATCCAAGCCATTAAGATTAAAAAAGACTTTATGGAAAGAGGATATGAGGAAACCTCTCTTATGAACACTATAAAACAAGTAAAAACTATGGACAGATCATCTTTATTAAAATATAAATGTAGAGACAAAAGAGATGACAATATTTTACCTTTTATTTGCAATTTCAACCAAGAAAGTTATAAAATTAAACAAATAATAAATAAACACTGGCCCATATTACGCAATGATCCCATGTTACATTCCATACTACCGGAGAAACCGAAACTTGTGTATAGAGGAGCCCCTAATTTAAAACAAAAGTTAGTCCACAACCATATAAAGAATAAGGTATCCACCCCCTTCTTTCATAAAGAGGGTTTTTTTGGTTGCGGGCAATGCCTGGCTTGTAGGAATACAAAAAGTGTTAAAAGACATATAACCGAATTTTATGACCCAAAAGGGGAAACTAAATATAAAATAAGACAAATGATTACATGTTTCTCGAAAAGGGTCATATATATATTGAAATGTTCATGTAACCTCTTTTATGTAGGCAGAACAAAGCGCCCTCTACAGATAAGGATAAATGAACATATCCGGAACATAAAAAGAGGTTTTGATAAACATAGCATTTCGGAACATTTTAATCTAGTACATAACAGAGACCCTCAACATTTAGAATTTATGGCAATTCAAAAGGTTATGTTAAACTGGCGAGGGGAGGATGAAATAAGAAAATTGGGAAGAATTGAGACTAAGTGGATTTTCAATCTAAACACTTTAGCTCCGTTTGGACTAAATGCGGATTTCGAATTGTGTCACTTTTTATAAATATTCATGCAAAGAGGTCACAAAAAGATATAAGAAAGCCTTCTTTTTCACTTTTTCAATTTTTTACTAATAATTTATTCAATTCATCTATGTCTGGATTTTTAATCTTTTTTTTTTTTCACATCAATTTAAATAAATTACTAAATTATGATCAAATATAATATATTAACTACTATCCAGATTGGAAATCCACTGAAAATAATTGCACTGATTTAATATAAACACAATTGCACATTTGCACATACCTAGTTTATATGAATCTATTTATTTATTTATATGTTTCAAATATGCACTTTAAGGTCACTAACTTAAGATATGTTGGAGAATTATGCTTGCAGAAAGTATGCACTGAAAAGAATTTTACAATACATGTATTTATTTATTTATTTTTACATGTTTTAAACATGCACTTTAAAGACACTAACTTAAGATATGTTGGTGAGTTGTGATTGCAGACAGTATGCACTGAGGAGGACTATGAACTTTATAATCCATGAAAACCGGAAGTGACGCGACGGCATTTGCGGCCGCGTCACACTGAATTCAGATCGGTAAAACCGGAAGTGATGAATCACCCGCAAAGCATTATGGACTCGGTAGTTCAAAATAACCGGAAGTGACGTGACGGAACTCCGGCCACATCATACACACATATGGGATTGGATAATTGAGAAAACTGGCGGGAAATTCAAGCTTTTTAAGGAGAAAGAAACAGAGACTGTTTTGAAGCTGACTGAGGAAGCCGTTTTACCGGCGAAACGCGTTTTGGCTCTTAAAGTGAACCTATATATATATATTTTTAAGGTCACATACTTTTATATCATACTGTTTTTTATTGTTTTTTATTTTCTAGAAATAATAGTGTATTTTTTATAAGATTACTTGATAATAAATTGCTCCCATTTTTTATCCATCCATTGTATCCTATAAAAGTGATTTAAAGGGGCAGTGTCACCCCAAAATTTGACACTGGGCAAATATACTTAGAGCCGGTTACCAAGGGCTCTAAAAAAGGTGAGCATTTCTCTATTTCTACTCATATGGACAATATTTCGATTCTGGGATGCTACACTTAGTGTGAAATATTTGTATCTTTTATATACTCGGTGGAGAATATCTTCATAAGGAGAGAGGGGTCGTGTGTTCTACCCAAAAGACACAGACGTGCAGAAGTTTAGAGCCTAATACTAGAAAAGGCTCTAACAAATGTGAGTGTACATATTCACTTATTTCATCGATCACTTTATTTAAAGACATATTACACTATCATTTGTATATGTTCTTTTTGTTCTCTTTTTTATGTATGAATTGTATTAAGAGAAGCGAAAAAGGGTAAGAGTTCCGAGAACACACTTACTCAGCACTTATATAGCGCTGCACTCACTTAAAGAACTTTAGATCTGGATGGTGGCAACATCATCCAAATCAATAAGTTCTTTTGCGTTTTGGTGATTGTTTATGTGTGGTGGGCAATTAGGAGTACCCACAGAGTGTATACAGCAGCTGTACCATATCTTCTTCTATTTCATAATACTAAGCGCCATTTATTCCACACTTTTTCGTGTATAATGCAGAGTGTGTTTGTGTAGTGTGTGTATATAGTGCAGAGTGTGTATATAGTGCAGAGTGTGTGTTTGTGTAGTGTGTGTATATAATGCATAGTGTGTGTTTGTGTAGTGTGTGTGTGCATTAAATACAGAGAAGAGATGTAATTTGTGTAAAATGGGGGGGAATTTTTTATTTTCATTTTTAATATTTATATGTTGTTTTTTTTTGACCACCCCTCCCTGCTTGTTACCTGGCCAGGGAGGGAAGATACGACAATCCCTGGTGGTCCAGTGGCATGCACTGTGTATTGAGCAGTGGGGGGTCCGGCAGCTAGCTGTTACTTACCTCCCAGCAGCTCTCCTGTGTAAATCTCGCGGTCTGCGTGCCGCGCGGAGCTTTGCCATGGTAACCCGTGGCAACGCTCTGCGGCCACGGGACTCGCGAGATTTGACATGGGAGCTAAAGGAGCTGATGGGAGATAAGTAACTGCTTGCTGTGGGCTCCCCAAGTCTGCCGGGCTTGTAATGAGCCTGGCAGTCCTGTTATGTATTATCGGCAATATCGGTATCTATATCGGTAAAACCGATAATCTGTTGATCCCTAGTTTAAATTCCTCTGAACTCAGAAAATGTAAGTATCAGCTCCATTAGTTTATCTTCCAAACCCTTATCTAAATCACAACTCCTACTAATGTTCTGCTATGATGAAACCACGCAACCGCCACCTTTGCTAGCACTGCGTTTATATGTAATCTGGTCATTACATTGTGCTTTCATCCTCATCCCACATATTTCTCTCGCTGATTGTGACCGTAGTAAAATGTAGGGATAACACATATAGACTAGTGGCACAATAATTACTACAATGAGCTATATTAGCTACGGTATTCCTTTAACTAATGGCACATTCATAAACTAACAAAAGTACAAAACTGAAGAGATATTTTCGTTTTTGTTTTTTTTAATAAAATTGCATTGCCAGGTTTGAATTATTTTTAAGCAGGATTTAAAATATTACCTTAAAATCATTTTTCAGCAAACACCGAATATCCTGTAGGTTCATTACACGATCCTTTGACTTTGCCTGAATTCCAGTGCTAACTATCTCATTGTAAGGTCTAGTAAGCCTAAGATCGGCCACTAAGTAATGATGTGAAACAACAGCCTCTTTAATAGCCATTCCATCCAATCCATTCCAGGGAAGTGTGTCTAGAGTCAATAAAATATAACCATATAGAACAGTTATCATATTATGGACACATTAAACATATTCATTTTTTTAACTTAATTACATATTTCTATGGTGCTATCATTTCAACATTTCACAATAACACTGCCACAAACATCATTCCCATCATTTAATCAATTCCCTCCTTATCCATTCCCTTTTTGGTGTAGAAGATTTTGTCTAAGGCAAATAAAAGTTGTTGTTTTTTTTTGTTTGTTTGTTTTTTACTGTAAGAACAATAAGGATGTGGAATTATTAGCCTGAAGAAGTGGTTTTATTAGAGTCCATACAGATGTTCAAATAGCAACTAGATGCATACTTGCAAAAACAGAATATTCAAGGATATAATTTTTCAATGTAGGGTAATAGCTGCTTGATCCAAGGATAAATCTGACTGCCATTCTGGGGTCAAGAGGGAATTTTTTTCCTAGTTTGTTGCAAAATTGGAAGTGCTTCAAAATGGTTTTTTTTTGCCTTCTTTTGGATCAACAGCAAAGAACAAATGTGAGGAATGCTGAACTTGATGAACACAAGTCTCTTTTCAGCTATGTAACTATGTACAACAAGGTCCCTTTCCCATGCACAGTAGTGCTTTAGAAATGGATATACAGTCAGGTCCATAAATATTGGGACATCGACACAATTATAATCTTTTTGGCTCTATACACCAACACAATGGGTTTGAAATGAAACAAACAAGATGTGCTTTAACTGCAGACTTTCAGCTTTAATTTTAGGGTATTTACATCCAAATCAGGTGAACTGTGTAGGAATTACAACAGTTTGTATATGTGCCTCCCACTTTTTAAGGGACCAAAAGTAATGGGACAGATTAACAGTCATAAATCAAACTTTCACTTTTTAATACATGGTTGCAAATCCTTTGCAGTCAATTACAGCCTGAAGTCTGGAACGCATAGACATCACCAGACGCTGGGTTTCATCCCTGGTGATGCTCTGCCAGGCCTCTACTGCAACTGTCATTTTCCCTTCAGTTTTGTCTTCATCAAGTGAAATGCATGCTCAATCGGATTCAGGTCAGATGATTGACTTGGCCATTGCATAACATTCCACTTCTTTCCCTTAAAAAACTCTTTGGTTGCTTTTGCAGTATGCTTCGGGTCATTGTCCATCTGCACTGTGAAGCGCCATCCAATGAGTTCTGAAGCATTTGGCTGAATATGAGCAGATAATATTTCCCGAAACACTTCAGAATTCATCCTGCAACTTTTGTCAGCAGTCACATCATCAATAAATACAAGAGAACCAGTTCCATTGACAGCCATACATGCCCAGGCCAAGACACTACCACCACCATGCTTCACTGATGAGGTGGTATGCTTTGGATCATGAGCAGTTCCTTTCCTTTTCCATACTCTTCTCTTCCCATCTCTGGTACAAGTTGATCTTGGTCTCATCTGTCCATAGGATGTTGTTCCAGAACTGTGAAGGCTTTTTTAGATGTTGTTTGGCAAACTCTAATCTGGCCTTCCTGTTTTTGAGGCTCACCAATGGTTTACATCTTGTGTTGAACCCTCTGTATTCACTCTGGTGAAGTCTTCTCTTGATTGTTGACTTTGACACACATACACCTACCTCCTGGAGAGTGTTCTTGATCTGGCCAACTGTTGTGAAGGGTGTTTTCTTCACCAGGAAAGAATTCTTCGATCATCCACCACAGTTGTTTTCCGTGGTCTTCCGGGTCTTTTGGTGTTGCTGAGCTCACCAGTGTGTTCTTTCTTTTTAAGGATGTTACAAACAGTTGATTTGGCCACACCTAATGTTTTTGCTATCTCTCTGATGGGTTTGTTTTGTTTTCAGCCTAATGATGGCTTGCTTCACTGATAGTGACAGCTCTTTGGATCTCATATTGAGAGTTGACTGCAACAGATTCCAAATGCAAATAGCATACTTGAAATGAACTCTGGACCTTTTATCTACTCCTTGTAAATGGGATAATGAGGGAATAACACACACCTGGCCATGGAACAGCTGAGCAACCAATTGTCCCATTACTTTTGGTACCTTGAAAAGTGGGAGGCACATATACAAACTGTTGTAATTCCTACACCGTTCATCTGATTTGGATGTAAATACCCTCATTTCATTTCAAATCCATTCTGGTGGTGTATAGAGCCAAAAAGATTAGAATTGTGTAGATGTCCCAATATTTATGGACCTGACTGTATATTTACCCAGAGCTCTTCCTCCTTGCTATAGACCTCAATGGCACATTGTACTAGAAAATGTCTATTAACATCAGGCATTATGAGTGACAACAGATGTGAATTACGACAAAATTATATAAAATCAAAATCTGTAATACATTAAAGTGTTTCATATCTTTAAGGCTTTAACAAAGTGTTACAGGGTATAAGGACCTTCTCAGTTTAAATAGCAGGTGCTAAATTTTGAAGAAAAAAAAAACGGTCATGTGATGTTATAGTCCCATGACTGACTCTTAATGTAATTTTTAACATTTGGACTATCCTTTGCTGCTGCTTTCTGCTAAGATACCATGTAATTGGTGGGGATTTTAATTTGTTCTCATATCCTCACGCAATGGTATGCACTAAACCAGTGGTGGTCAACCTTTTTCTACCTACCGCCCACTAATGCATCTTTCTTGATGTCCTTACCGCCCACCAGTTTTTGCGCAAGTGCGGAATATTTTTTAGAAAGGAGGGTACGTACATTTATCTTTTTATTTCTACTTTATGCATGTTTATAATGTTTTTAACTTTATAAAGTTTAATGAGAAAACAATAAAGTAAATTGAAATTACCTTTACTAGTGATTAATGAGATCCTTGAAGTTGATGCTGCGAGACTAAATATTTGATATCTGGTTCGATTTTCGTAAGGAACAAACAAAGATCTCCTCTTTCGGTGATATTCAGACGACTTCTCTGTTTGCTCATTATATGATTTCTCATCTGTGCCTCAGCTCCCCTCCTCTCCCTCCTCAATTCCCCTCCCCACCTTTTTTTTTTTTCCTTTTTTCTATTTTTTAACCTTCCTTATAGCAATGCCCAGTAGGAAGGCTGAGCTAGGTAGCCCACTTACTATTACTTACTATAGCCCGTTATAACAGACAGGCACACACACATACATACATACATACATACAGACACACACACACATACAGATACACACACACACAAGACACATACATACAGACAGGCACACATACATACATACAGACACACAGACAGGCACACATACATACAGACACACACACACAAGACACATACATACATACAGACAGGCACACATACACACATAATACATACATACAAAGACACATACACACACACACACACACACAACACATACATACAAAGACAAGACACACATACACACATATATACAGACAGACAGACACACACACACACACACACAAGACATACATACAAAGACACACACATACATACTGTGATCCTTGTCACCAGGTAGCACGGTCCTCTAGGGCAAAAACATGCACAGTCCTTGTAGTTGCAAATACTTCAGGCACTTTATTTGTAAGTTCACACAGGATACAGCAGTTAAATGAAAACAAAAGTAACTGAAAACCCTATAAACAAACACCTAGCTCGTCTGAGCACTAACTGACTTTAGTTCCCTATCTCTCAGGGTTAAACTAAACACAATATTGCACCAACCTTATTAGAGAGCAACGCTCTGCTATCTAACCTGTTGCTTTCCTTTCTGCAATCCCAGTGCTCCAAGCCAGCCTTGCCCTGACTGCTTTCCTTTCTGCACTCCCAGTGCTCCAAGCCAGCCTTGCCCTGACTGCTTTCCTTTCCGCACTCCAAGTGCCTAGTCACCTTGACTATCTGGAGAGAACAGCCTCTCTCTCCTACCTGCTTCCTGGGAGGAAGCCAGCAATCCCTCTCCTTTTCCTGCCTAGCCAGGAGGAGTTTATTCCCACTGCAACAGCTGATTACCTGCAGCTGAGCAGTGGGTTGGAGACAGTCCAACAAACCCTGGCCTGGATCTATGTCTCCCCAGAACACCACTAAACTGTGGAGTGGAGCATTGGCCCACCCTTCTCTCCAAGTGCTCCACCCCAGGGGCCCATAACTAAACAATGCGTTGTGTTGTGCAAAACACAAACTACACATACTCCCCCTGGGGTTAAAAGGCCTATCTGCCTTCACTTTATCACAATACAAAGACACATACATACAAACACAAGACATACATACAAAGACATACATACAAAGACACACACACAAGACATACATACAAAGACACATACACACAAACAAACACAAACAAAATATTTTAGTCATCGTCCTGTTTCCTACCTTTTAGGTGCAGGAGGGTGGTTTTCCCTGGATTCCAGTGGTGGCTCAGGTGGATGGGAGTCAGAGTTCCCACTCTGACTCCCTCTGCTTCTTCCCGTGTGGACCGGGCCCCCTTACAATCCATAACCATGGGGTGGCCCTGACAGTATGGGCCACACCATAAACTCCTTGGACAGCGGCCCCGGCGGTTTGCAGCGCGGGCCGAGGCCGCAAATGGTGATGCGGGTACCCGGTCGCAGGGGTACCGCCGGCGAGCACCCGCCCGCTCAATCTCTCAAAAAGAGGAAATCCCTACCACCCACCTGGAATCCTGAAACGCCCACTAGTGGGCGGTAGGGACCACGTTGACGACACATGCACTAAACAGTTTCTTCTTCTCATTTCACATTTATAAGGAGAAGACCTGCACCAACCACATATCCTTGATTATTCCACTCCACATTATACCCTAAGAGCCACTGTAGGGTTCCAGCTCCAAACAATGTGAATGTATTTCCACATATCAAAAAATAACCTCATCCCTGACATACTGTACTATACTGTTGTTGTTTTTTGGCTCCTATTCCTTATCTTTAATTAGTGATTTCACTAAATTTCATTAATAATGGGGGTTAGATCACCACAGTGATGCCAAGGCATTTAGCCCTGCTCTGTTATGTTTGGCTCTCTTACTGACATCTTATAACTTGTATGAGACAGTTTTAATATTACCTTAGTTTATAATAAAAGTTAGGGTTCTCCTTTCCCTTCTCTGTTCTCCCCTCCATAGGCCTCCTTCTGTCCTTAGGAGCCTTTGGCATCTTTATATCTTACTTTTGTTTTTCCTATTGTACTTGTCTGTGCTTATTTTCTAATTCAGTTGGAATTGCTGTGCAAGTCTAAGGTAGTCTTTATAAAACTTCCAGAATGATTCTATTTTAATGTACACATAGCCTGCATTTGTGACCTTAAAGTGGCAATGTCATGTCTGAGATTGACATTCACTACTGTATTCCTTCAAAAAGTTTACCTAACATTTGAAAAATAGTACACACGATAAAATATCAAAAGGAAATAATCCAAATATGTTGATCAGATGTCAAACTTCTCTGACATACAAATCTCATAAAATAATAGGGACTCATGTAGATCTCCTCTACAAGCCTAGCCTCCAGGTACATTTGCAACTGGGCAAATCCTGAACAAACCCATCGCGACCGAGGACGTATCAGGTACGTCTGACAAAAAAAAGGGTCCTTAAGGACCATGGGCGTACCTGGTGCGCAGCAGTGAATTACGAGTGCACGGAGTCGAGGCACTCAGTGAAGATTTAAATAATAAATAAAATAAATTTTAAATAAATAAATAATAAAAAAAAATAATCCTTCTCCCTCTCACATGTACTTATCAATCGCCGCCATTCCCCTGCAGGCCATCGGTTTTCATCTTCTATAGGGGGACTGACTGACAGTCCAGGCAGTCCCCCCATCTGCTAAAAAGGACCCGCAGAGGCCATTTGACCACTCTGAAAGAGCGATCACATGGCCGCCATAGGTGTACATAGTGCTGATAGCAGGGGGACTGCCTGAACTGACAGGCAGTCCCATTGCTTGTGAAAAAAGTAAAAAATAAATAAATACAGTTAATAAATTTTAAATATATATATAAATAAATAAATGTTGGTCGGAATTATTTGATTTAGCACATGTAATTTGCACAAGTAAATAAAAGAAACACTGGAAACAAGATCTACAAATGCACCTATTATCTTGTTGGATATATATATATATATATATATATATATATATATATATATAAAAAGAATATCAACATCCCCTGCACTCACGCTTGAAGTATTCCAAATGCCGGGCGTACCACCAAAGCTCCAATAGGTATAACATCCACAAGAAAAGGCTGCTCTCCGGACTTAAAATCAAAAGTTTTATTGAAAAAATTTAAAAATGATGACCAACGTTTCGGTCCCCGATCGGGACCTTCCTCAGGGTCAGAGACAATAGGACAACAACAAACGGTGTACAAAATGACAATATATACCATTACATTAAGTGAAATAACTCACCCAGGTGTTCTATTCTCGTTTCCCGCCGGCACCCAGTGAATTTCCGGGTATGCGCGCGCACGTCAATACGTGCTCCACCCCCTCGTCATACTACGTTACGTGCCGACGTACTCCCGGTCACATAGACCGGTCTCCTTAGCAACCGTATATACAAAGACCCCTCTTACAACAAGAGGAGTCTGTACCAGGATAGAGAATAGGATAAGAAGAATTAGTGCCATATACAAATAATCTAAGTGCCTTTCTAAAACAAATCTTGTGACGGGCTCATTATATATCATATACCCCTAACCACAATAACACCTAGTGAACCTAGGTAAGTAACACCTCATCAAGGTGATAATAGTACCACTAAAATTTATCCAGAAAGTGCATGAGCCCCTTTTATAGTTAAGTGTGAAATTACACTCATTAGTGAATCAAAAAAATTCATATGTCATAAAAATTTTTATTATTTTTAAATTTTTTATATTTATGTCAACTTTTTTGACAACAACGTCCAAGATGACACAGAATATTGGTGTCCAGCAACGAGATAGGTCACAAAATATAACTAAGAAAGAACGACAATTGATTGATAACCTAGCTAAAGACCCTACCATAGTGATCCGCTCAGCGGATAAGGGAGGAGGTATCGTACTTATGAACTATACTGATTATGCAGAAGATCTTAAACAACAATTACAGGATTTGAACACCTATTGTATGTTACCAAGGGATCCTACTCTCGAAATTCAGAGGAAAATCAGTGATGTATTAGAGATGGGACTTAGAGCTGGTTATATTAGCCTTGATTTATTTCAGTTTTTGAATAAACAACATCCCCGCACTCCAATTATTTATAGTATACCCAAGATTCATAAAGACCCAGAAAGACCTCCTGGCCGTCCCATTGTTTCAGCTATTGAGGGGATTTTGGAACCCATAGCACAATGGTTAGATTTTGTTTTTAAAGGACCAGTTGAGGCATTGAGTACGTGTATTAAGGACACACAAACTCTCTTGAGTAGAATTAAGTCTTTGGAGTTCCATGGAATGGTTCCAATATTTATCACTATGGATGTCAAGAGCCTGTATACGGTCATCCCTCATATTGGAGGTATTGAGGCGATGCGACAGGTATTATGTGAGTCTCCGATGTACCATGGCCCACCGATAGAATTTATTTTGGAGCTTCTGTCGTTGATCCTTCATAACAATCATTTTAGATTTGAGGATCGGTGGTACTTGCAGGTGGCGGGAACATCCATGGGGTCAGCCATGGCCCCTATGTATGCCAATACGTACATGTATGCGTATGAAACACAGCATATATTGACCACATATAAGGATAACATTATTGGGTACTACCGTTACATAGACGATCTGTTGATCATCTGGCGAGGCTCACAAACGGAGGCATATACGATGGTGGAGGAGTTAAATTTGCTGCCAACACCTATCAAATTTACAGCCAATATCAGTGAGGAAAGTGTCCAATATCTGGACTTAGAACTTTCTTATGGAGATAATAGAGTCCAATACACTTTATTTTCGAAACAGACTGATCGGAATACTCTTTTACACGCTAGGAGTGCACATCCTATTTCGCTGAAAAAATCCATTCCTAAAGCACAGTTCCAGAGAGTCATTCGCAATAATTCTGATACAAACAAGGCTGAGTCACAATTGAAAATCATGACCCAGAAGTTTTTGAACAGAGGTTAGAATATTCAGGTACTAGAAGAAGCACTGCTGAAGGCAAAATCGGCCCCGGTGCAAACAAAGACGGATCCTGTACAAAAAATAGTATTTCCGATGACGTTTCATAATTCTTCTAATTTGATTTCAACAATTGTTAAAGACAATTGGAAAATGATTGCTACGGATGACACCCTGCCAAAGATTTTTAAAGAGACTCCATTAATTTGCTACAGGAGAAACAAGAGTCTTAAGGATATGCTAGAGCGTACAGACCCTGTGGAGAGTTATTCTAAAACAGTCAAGCACAACATACGGGGAAGCATACGATGTCTGGGGTGTATTACTTGTGGACATATGATTCCAGCAAAGAAATTTAATCACCCACATACTAATAAAACATACGATATAAGACACACTATTACTTGTAAAACCCCCTTTGTTGTATATAAATTGGTGTGTCCGTGTGGCCTCTATTATGTAGGAAAGACAGAAACACCTTTGTGTGAGAGGATTAGGGGCCACCGCTCGAGTATAAGATTAGCGTACAGGGATGGCCAGTCTGATAAGAAAGTTGCTCGGCATTTTCTTGATAAAAAGCATCCTTTAGCATCCCTTAAATTTGTGGGTATTGATCATATACCCCTACCCCGCAGGGGGGGTAATAGGAGGAAAATGTTGCTTCAGAAAGAGGCTTTTTGGATACACCAACTAAATACAATGTCTCCCATGGGTCTCAATGAGAGTATCACGTATCATTCTTTTATATAGGTCTAACCAGCTTGTCACTATTGTTTTTAAATATTTTTATGTTTAATGAATTTCTCAGGGGTATGGAAGTGTGTCTATAATTATGCCAAATTGTTTTTATATGTATGATATGTTTGATTACACATATGTTGCTTATGAGCACCTATTATGCACTTTATTACATGCATGATATCACTTTAAAATTTTTTTATGACATATGAATTTTTTTGATTCACTAATGAGTGTAATTTCACACTTAACTATAAAAGGGGCTCATGCACTTTCTGGATAAATTTTAGTGGTACTATTATCACCTTGATGAGGTGTTACTTACCTAGGTTCACTAGGTGTTATTGTGGTTAGGGGTATATGATATATAATGAGCCCGTCACAAGATTTGTTTTAGAAAGGCACTTAGATTATTTGTATATGGCACTAATTCTTCTTATCCTATTCTCTATCCTGGTACAGACTCCTCTTGTTGTAAGAGGGGTCTTTGTATATACGGTTGCTAAGGAGACCGGTCTATGTGACCGGGAGTACGTCGGCACGTAACGTAGTATGACGAGGGGGCGGAGCACGTATTGACGTGCGTGCGCATACCCGGAAATTCACTGGGTGCCGGCGGGAAACGAGAATAGAACACCTGGGTGAGTTATTTCACTTAATGTAATAGTATATATTGTCATTTTGTACACCGTTTGTTGTTGTCCTATTGTCTCTGACCCTGAGGAAGGTCCCGATCGTGGACCGAAACGTTGGTCATCATTTTTAAATTTTTTCAATAAAACTTTTGATTTTAAGTCCGGAGAGCAGCCTTTTCTTGTGGATGTTATATATATATATATATATATATATATATATATATATATATATACACGATAACAGTAGAGAGCACTCAGGAGTCTTTCAAAGTACTTTGAAAGACTCCTAAGTGCTCTCTACTGGTATCGTATACAATTTGGTTGGAGACAGCACCGGAGCATTATAGACCGGGAGCATTATATATATATATATATATATATATATATATATATATATATATATATATAATGTCATACTAAGTGTGAAAGAGCGGTCACATGGACGTAATAGTCGTCCATGTATCTGCCTGCAGGGGGACAGCCTAAACTGACAGGCAGTCTCCCTGCTGCTGTAAAATAGCAAAAAAAAGTTTTAATAAATCACAATATAATATATATATATATAGGCAAATAATATGTAGATCCATGCACTCACGCTCACAGCTTATCTGCATTAAAGCATTAAAAATACTTGCTGGGTGCCAGTCCCCTTGGGGCAGTAAATAGATGTAATGACAAGAAAGTCCTGGGCTGCACTCACGGTCTTAAGAATGAAAATTTTGTTTATTCCATAAAGTGAAAAAGATCTTTCTATATAATGTATATTTTTATTAATATATACATATATTAATATAAAAATACACTTAGAGTAAACTTACACACGTATATAAATATAATATATATATATATATATACATAATAACTATATATATATTGTATATTATTATTATAATAAATAATAATCAATTAAAAATACATTTAAAAAATTTAAAAATAAAATAATTTAAAATAAATATATATATATATATATATATATATATAAATAAAAATAATACGAAATATACACATATCAATTTACATAATTGCATAAATAATTTCATAAATATACAGGTAGACTTCAAATATATAAATATGTGTGTATATATATATATATATATATATATATATATATTTGTGTAAGGGGCAAATAGCCGTATATGAAGTAAGGTTCTAGCGTAAGTGTAGGATAGTATGAAGGGAGCAAGTCGGTTGTGGTGTGCCGAGACCGACGATACGGTAGGCCAGTAAATAAAGAGGGCCCACCAAGGAGTAAGAAAGTAAAGTAAATAGAAAGAAAAGAGAAAGTGTTAAAATGAGGAGTGGGTGGGAGGGTCATTCTGATGCTAACCTCAAGTGATATGGAGTCAGGTAAGGGGTGTCCCTTATATAGGGGAGTGAATTAATTTAAGCCCCTCCCACAAATACAGGCTAAACGGCCTTAATACTTGTGTAAGGGGCAAATAGCCGTATATGGAGTTAGGTTCCAGCATAAGTGAAGGATAGTATAAAGGGAGCAAGTCGGTTGTGGTGTGCCGAGACCGACAATACGGTAGGCCTGTAAATAAAGAGGGCAAAAATTAATAATCAAAGATTTAATACAGTCAACAAATATATACAAATTAACCAGACATTTCCTTAAGTGCATTACGGTATTTAATTCCTGGAAGGATTTTGAAGGTAGGAATCTAGGACCGCAAGTGGACACCATTTGTTGTGGGTAGGATAGTATGTTATCTCTACTGTTGGTGCGTGTTGACTTGTTTCGGAATGTGGTAGAGCCAGTAGGTAATGATATATGTGTTTACATACGTGGGATCGTTGAAGACAATGATCTGTCTGAGTGGTGGTGATGGTAGTGGATTCTCTGGCCTGAGAAAGGCATAGAAGGCAGTGTGCATGGCTGGTAATGGCCGACTTGGTAGTATAATTGAATGGTTGTAGATCTGATAGGTCCGAAAAGGATGGAAAGGTTGAATGGCTATTGGTAATCTCTGAGAGGAACGTGAGGGAATGGATTCCTGAAAACCTCTGAGTATATTCTTGTCTGGTATGATAGCATGAAGTTATGGTAGTTTTGACCATAGGTTATCCTGTGTTGTTGAATGCCTGAAAAATATATAATTAATGGTGTGTGAGATAGTTTTAGTTTAAGGTGGCAAAAAGAAGCAAAACCTAGGAGAAATGTTATGACACAGGTTGAGCTATGTCGTGTTCCAATGAGATTCTTTAAGCCAGGTGAAAAACTGTGTTATGCGTTCTACAAGTATGGGACGAAAGTGCTAGGTGGGATAGTGCATGCTATGCTGCATGAGTATGTCTAATCCATGATTTTGTCTCTGGAATGAAAGAGTGGCCATGACTGTATATGTGGCTGTAGGAAGCGTATGATGAACATGCCTTGAATATAAATGAGACAATTGTTGGCAGGGATGTATACCCCCTGCCTAGTACATGAAAGTAAAAGAAGTGTGATAAGTGGCCAACCAAGTGAGTTCCCCAGAAATATCATGATCGTATGGATGATGAGTGGCGTTTGTTGATGATATGACATGTACTTAGTTGTCTGAGTAACAACGGATTGATAACCCTGACCATGATTTACCCCATGCCACAGCAGCTGCTACAATGGGGTAGATACCCCAAAGGGGCTGAGGTGGTGGAAAAATTTACAAACCTGGATGCCATGGCCAACAGCTCCAAAGCAATCGTTCCCGGGAGATCGCTGCCAAACCCGTGGTAGACGTCGCGTCTGACCATTTGGTTGGAGAAGTGTCAGACAATCCTGGATGCTTTTACAATGCCAAGTGGTTAAGAAATTCCCCCCCATGTGCAGGTCTGCTGTTGCTGGTGTGTCTAGGGACATCCTCTGATCGTCATGTTGGAAGTGTGGAAAAAAGGGGAAAGTACTCTGGATGTGAAAGTGTGGTCTTGTGGTATGATTGGCATGGCAAAATTAAGGAACCTGGTAGGGATTGTAGTTCCTTGCGGTTGTAAGTACTAAGCAGGAGGTAGTGATTGATGTAGTTGAGAATGTTCCCTATTTGTCTTGTGGTAACTTGCGTGTATGGATGCCGACTCAAGTCGTATGCCCAGTAATGTGATGATAGTGTCTGGGCCTGAGAGTGCTCGTCTGTTTGTTTGGGACAAAATCCCTTCTGTATGGGTACCTGCACAAATAAACATCTCTACATATTCCAAATGCCAACCCAACCAAGCGATGGTCAGTTCCCGATTTACCTGGAATCCCTGGATCTGAATATCACAGATACATCATCATAGTGGTCCCGCATCATGCCTTGTTTCCCCAATGTGCTGGGATCATACGTGCAGGGTTAACGTCTTGTGTGTCATAAGAATTGATTGTAACAGGTAACCGAGTTTCGGTTGGTGCTGGTTGTACAGTAGCGTGAGGCCCAGCCTTGTGAGGGCTGTGGTGACCGACTCGAGATTGCCAGTCTGTCATAAATTTTTGGGCTCATGAGTTTATGAGGGAGGCTAGCATGGCCTGGGTGTCACCTGAGTTGGTGTAGCTGGGCCTTCCCCTGCCTCCATGTTGTCTGTTGATGTATGGAGGAGCTTGAATAACTCTGCTTTCCTTGCTGTGGCAGGGTAGGGGATTTGTTGCCTCCTTAGGTCGGTGGTAATGTGTGGGATCGTCCAGGATCTGATTGCTGCTGGACTAGCAACATCTTCTCTGCTTGAAGGTGTATCAATTCTAGCCGGGGTGCTAGGAAGAGGTGATTCTTCACCATCTTTTTGAGAAATACTTAAATAACAATAAAGATTGCAATTATTATTTGTACCCAGGGGTCTTGTACTGGCTTGCTAGCTAAGCCGTAAGGCGAAACGATTAGGCTTGGTGTTTTTTGGTGACTGGTGAGGCCCTGCTAGTTGCCAAGTGGCTTGAGGGGCTCTATCTATGCTTGGCGCGAGGGGATTTTGTGTGGCCACCGAACGTTGTGGCAGGATGTTGGCCTCTCGGTGACAGTAACCAGAAAATAGGAAGGGGAGTGACAGGTGAAGCCCTTTCTATGATACAATGTGAGGCGGCTAGCTCATGAGTGCCCCGAGGGGTGTATGCCTCAGAGTGTAAGGCGGGTGTTGGCCTTGCGGGACCACTAACCGAAGCATAATGCAGAGAAAAAAGGGGGTAATACCTATTCAGCCCTAGAACCCTAATTGCCAGTACGCTATTACTATTCCAGGGAAGGTAAGAGATGGATAACTACGTGAGCAGGTGTATGTACCTGGTAGTATGGTATTGAACCTGGCAATCCGTATAGGTATTTTAGTAGTAACTGTAACCTGAATGGATAAAACCGTATGGCATAAGGAAATATGGCATAGACCAAGCTTATCTTAATACGTACAGTATATGTGAAAAGTAAAGTGCTGTGATGTGTAAATATTAAACATTGTAGCAATACTGGTTAAATATGTATCAATCTTAACCCATTAAGTGCTGTTTGTACAAGTGAAAAAGTGGTCTGTCCCCACCTTGTATGTTGTATGTCCCCTTGCTAGGGGAAAGTCTGTTGTGTGAGCAGAGTGCTGTGAAAAATGTATGTGAACTATATTACCAGTTACGTATATTCAGATGTGTCTGCTACTGTGTAATAATATATGTATTTATACCAGATGTTGATATACTACTTGCTATGTGAATTGTTGTATGTCTTATTGAATGGTAAGGGCCAGTGACCATGGTGTTGCAAAATGCAAGTGCACTGGAGATCTGCCGAGTGCCCTATAGGTGGCAGTGTAGTTGGATACTGATTGGTATGTGAAATGTTGTTTGTCTGTTGACCTATAGGGGTCAGTGTTTTGGTGTTTGTTAAACCCCATGAAAATTGCCAATGAACTTGACAGACCTGTAGGTGGCAGTGTTGATAAAACCCCTGTTGGTCTTGATGTGAAATGTAAATTATTGTGAATAAAATCTGAAGTTGAGCCCGTGCTGGAGTTTAATTTATGGTTTATGGTTATGTTTAAAACAATCTTATGTGTAATTTATATTGGCTGGTAAATTGTATATGACATGTGAAGACAATTTTGCTGTTGACCAGTAGGGGTCAGAAATGCTGATTGTATGGTAAAAATACAATTTAACCCCTTACGGACCAAACTTCCGGAATAAAAGGGAATCATGTCATGTGTCCTTAAAGGACCACTCTAGGCACCCAGACCACTTCAGCTTAATGAAGTGGTCTGGGTGCCTGGTCCATATGGGGTTAACCCATTTTTTATAAAAGCAGGAATAAAAGCCTCAAAGATCTACTCATGAAGACAGATTTACCAAGAGAAAGCTTGGTCTCGATTAAATCTAATAGGATGGGATGTTT